TCAGGGATTCACACAGATGTGGCATAGCTTCCACTACAAATGACCATTGATAGTAAGGAATTGTGGAATTACTTCAGGTTCCTTCTTCACCTAACTGTTCAATTCGTTTTGCTCCTCCGTCAGAGCTCTGCTCCTGGAGATTGAAGTCTGACAATGATTCACTTTGTCGTTAAGAGAAGGATCTCAATCCCCACCCCTCAGTCTGCTGCTGAATGGTTTACACAGAGCATCAGAGGCAGAGAGCAAATGTACAACAGATGCTGTCAGAGACATTTTCATATTTATGAACAAAGCACCAGATCGACAACCAGCTTGATACCTTCAGCCCACTGAATAAGCATCATGAATGAGAATTGTTACTTTGGTATAAGGAGTAACTCATCCAGTCAGAAGAACAAAGTGTAAATCCATTTTACTTCCATTCTGAATCTACTTAGATGATTAGATTATAAAGCAACTTAAACTACTCTTCAGTTGGCACAGACATGGTTGAAAGAAAATCCAGTTAGGTATTTAAATCAATTCCACACAGACACACCGCTAGCCTTTTCTCCAAATATTTTGTTCTTATCTCATTTGTGGAACTACAGCAATCTGTTCATTTTTTTCCTCTCTGTGTCTTTTAATTAAGGTTGCAATGTCAGATATTTTGATCAATGGTACCCCCATGAAGGTTTTCTTTAGGTATTTGGACAGGAAATTACCAACATGAAAGCTTCAAATCCCATCCTTTCTGAAAGTAATCATGCAAAGCCAAAGAATAGATGCCATAGTGTGTCAGTGGAAGCTACACTTGATATTTGACAAGGGATACAGCTGGTAAGAAAATGCTGAATTACTGCAGATCTTGATGAAAAGTCACATTAATTCAGTTCTCTTCATAGATGCTGCCATACCTACTGAGCATGTTTTTTTAATTCAGATCTCCAGCAGGCAAAGTAATTTACATTTGTATTCAGAACAGAATGTTAGCTGCTCCCAAATGGTTTTGAATTAAAGATGGTACAAGGAGGGTAGGATGTTCCGTGGTGCAGTGGGTAGTATCACTGAGTCAGTAACTCCATATTCAAGACTTACTCCAGGATTTGTTGACCAAAGGTGTATTCCATGTTTGAGTACGAACTTGTGACTCCTTTCAACATATGCCACTATTGTGGTAAGACTGGGAGAAATTCCTGGTCAGCCATGTGAAGGGAACTGCAGCTTTTTACCATCACCATCCATAGTTCCAGGCTACAAGACATGAAGAGTTCACTCACCCCCTTGAGTTCTTTACTTCTAGACTATGACTGATCATCTAACTCAATGCCATCTTTCTATGCTGTCCTCATTCATAAAAGTGTATGCTATCACAACAAATATTTGGAGGGAGAATTGAGGGCTCAGTATTTTGTTCACTAATCCATAACCTTAAAATGTCTCTTTGATGCTTGGCTTTCACTACTCACCAGTGTCAAATACAGCATGTCCAGGAATATCATCCCCTTCAATTTCAGTATTGCAGAATGCAAAGATTACTTGTCTCAATTAATGATGTAACATGGCTGAAAACAGTTCCCTTTCCAAAAGTCTGTATAGTCACAATTGTTCTAATAATCAAAAAAATTTTTGAGATAGTTTTATCCATTAGGAAATTTGATGTATGTTATGTACATTGTTTAGATGATGCACAGCAAAATGCAAAGATTTGATAGCACATTCTAAATGCATGAACTCTTATTACCTAGAAGGACAAGGACAGCAGGGGTGTGGGAACTCCACCACCTACAACTTTTCTTCCAACCTCATCATCCTGACTTGGAACTTTATCATTGTTACTTCCGTATCATGGCAAAATACAAAAACACCCTACATTACACCACTGTGAAATCACTTAGACTACATCAGGTCAAGATAGCCTACTATCAACTTCACAAGACCAATTAGGGATGGGGAATAGATGACCTTGTTAGTGACATTCACATTCCATTATGAGAATGTAACCAGAGAGAAGGGTTTTCAGTTGTACGGATGGAGAACCTGGGATTATTCCCTTTAGGTGATTTGATAGAAGTGTGAAAAACTACCAAAAAGCGTCATGATGGAGAGAAAACTGTTTCCATTGGTGGAAGGTCAAGAACCAGAGGACTGGTCAAAAGAACACAGGTAACACAAGTAAAAAGATTTTTATGCAATGAATGGTTTCAATCTGGAATGATTTGCCCAAATGTTAGAGGAGCCAAGTTAGATTCTTACCTTTCAAAAGAAGTTGAACTTAAGTTTGATACCACTCCGTGAGTGGCTAAGCTCAGCTTTAGGCATCAAACTTAAAGAAAAAGATTGAATATTGCACATGCCCATGAATTGATAGGCTGTTTAAGAACCACATAGGTTCCCGTAGCAACACGTTGTGTTTGGAAGAAAAAAAACCATTTGCATCTTTTTTGAGTTCTGATGAAAGATCACCGACTTAATGTTAATACTTTCTCTCTCCACATATGCTACCTGAACTGGAGATTGACAGCCGACTTGATTTACTCAGTCACTCTAGGCAACGTTGACCAAGGTATGGCTGAAATGTCATTTTGCCTCTAACTGCAGATGCCTGGAATTTTTTGTTTTATTTTGGATTTCCAGCATTTACAAATTACTGGTCTTAAGAAGAGGAAATCGTGGAATTATACAGAAGCTAAAAGTTACATTGAGAACAAGTTGCCCAAGCATGTGCTCAAATGGGGCATTCCAGGTACACAACATTAGAAAAATAATTTAATAAAGCAAATGGACTGGCTTCGTAAACAGTGCTACAAGTTGCCTCTGATATTGGAAAGAAATATGTCCTGTTGATCTGCCATTGTCACAAGTTAGACAGTTCACAACAGAGAAGGTGTTTACCTGTTATAATCCACCTGCTTCAATGGGTGTTCAGAACTTAGCAGTTTAAAATTTCTTTCATGGAATGTGACCATTGCTGGCAAGGCCAGCATTTGTTGCTGATTGAACTGCCCTTGAAATGTTGGCTAGGCCATTTCAGAGGGCAGTTAAGAGTCAACCACATTGTGGTGGTGCTGGAGCCACATGTAGACTAGACCAGGTAAGGCAGTTTTACTTCCTATTAGTGAATCAGAACAATTGATGGTAGTTTCAGTTGACAAGCTTTACATCCCAGGTTTAAATGAATTTATATTCCACCATTTGACACAATGGAATTTGAACCCATGTCCTCAAAGCATTAGCCTAATCCCCTGGTTATTAGTCCAGTAACATTACGCTCTGTATTCAATAAGTGAAGTAAATTATCACACAAGGCGAACAAAGAAAAAGCCAAATTCTTTATCTGGCAAGCTGGAGCATAGAACCACATAAACAGGGGACTTATAAGCTGGCTGATGAAGTGTGCAAGATAGTTTTGATTAATGGATGATGGAACCTCAACAAATGGTTCAGAATATGTTTTCTCTGTGCCTCCCAAAATTGGATAGGGTTAGATACCCTCATGTCTACCTTGATTCTGTGCTCCACACAGAGGTCTGTTCTCAATCAGAGAATCACAGTGCAGGAGACCATTTGGCCCTTTTATAGCTGCTTCAACTCTCGATCTCAGTATTATTTTCCTGCCATCTCCCCACAACCCTGCATACCGTTGAGGCATTCTATATTAAAATCAGCAAGATCCAGACAACAGTCAGAGTGACAAGTAGCAAGTAACATCTGTGGCACAACAGAGCCATGTAATGCCAGATTTAACCATCCCCATTTCACAAACAACTAATTGGATGGCCATCAGTTAATCCTCCACCATCAACGTACGGAAGTGTGCTGTCACCATCAGCTAATAAACTAATAGCACTGGCCACAAAAATACTGCCACAGGATAAGAATTCAGAAGTGAATAACTTACCTCCTAATTCCCCAAAGCTTTCCCACTACAAGACATGTCAGGAGTATTTAGAATACTCTTTACTTCCTGGATGGCAAAAAGGTCCAACACACAAGCTCAACATTACCCAGGACAAAGCAACTCTCTTGCTTACAGATTAAAAATCTATCTCAACCTTAGATATACTCAATTACCCAGCCTCTACAGCGTTCCACAGATTCAATACCCTCAGGTAAGAAATGCCTCTTCATCTCTATCTTAAATGGTCAACCCCTTACCCTCGACATTATGCCCGTTGGTGCGAGACTCTTCAATGAGGGAAACGTGTCAGCATCTACCTTGCCAAGCCCTCCCAGAAATCTTGTTTCATAAGGTCACCTCCCATTCTTCTCAACTCCAATGAGCACAGGCCCCACCTATTCAATCTCTCATAAGACAGGTCCTCCATACCTACTATCAACTGAGTGAACCTTCTCTGGAATGCTTCCAATGCCAGTTCATCTTTCCTTATGTAAAAGCACCAAACCTGTTCAGTGTTCCAGGTAACTGTTACCTTGCATATTTTTTAGTAAGACTTCCCTATTTTTATACTCCATTCCCTTTGAAGTAAAGGCCAATATTCCATTTGCCTTCCCTGTTACCTGCAGAACTTGTATGTTATTTGTGATTTATGAAGAAGCCTAAATCCCGCTGTGGCAGCTCTCTGCAGAGTTTCTCTTAAAATAATATTCAACTCCTCTATTCATCTTATCAAAATGCATAACCTCACACCTTCACACATTTTCCCTTTCACTTAACTAGTCTATATTCTCCTACAGACTCTGTGTTATCCTCACCACTCACTTATTTTTCTATTGTCTGCAAACTTGACTATTGCATGTTCATCTCCCCCTTGCAAGTCATTAATATATAAGTAATTGTGGCCCCAACTCCATATGTCGACTGACGTTCACATTATGGTAACTGAAAAGATTGCAGATGATTTTCTGAAAATCCAGGAGGAAGGTTGTTCTGGAAAGCAGTAGCCGCAGCCTGGACCTACACTTTACAAAATCACAACAACTTGAATTTCATGTCATATGTCATTCAATTGGATTTCTGAACCTTAACTGTGGGAGTTCAATGAAGGTTGCACTTAAAGGAAGGTGTGGAAGTCTTTAATATAATTCCATTAACAGAAAAATAAGACTAAGGATTTAAGGTTCTGAATCCAGGCATCAAAGACGACAAATTGGTAATAAGTCAGTCATTGAAGTCTCAAATAGTAGCAGCTTCTCCCAGTCAATCAAATCATCACAGCGTCTGTTTCTTCTTTCGTAATCTATGACCGGCCTCTGCCCCTTTCCGTGCAGCTTTAACCAGACCCTTGAACTGGCCACAAATCTTCGCCTTTTTCCTTTAGAGAAAAGAATATTTTTTAAAGAACAAAAATTTAAAGCTAGCAAGAATGAGAAATATTGCATCTGTACAAATCATTCTTTATGCTGATTGAACCAACAGTACATCATGACCTGCTGTGTTCACAGTCCTGTAATGAGCAGGAGCCCTCCCACCCAGCAGTAACAAAGCCTCACCTTCGATTCAGCTGTGATTTGTTAAGTGGGACATAAGCAAAAGGATCCAGCTTTCCTTTCCGTTTCACATCCCCTTGCCCTTTCTGAAGAAAGATGAGAATTTGTCAGATTTAATTTAAGTAGATGCTGAGGAAACGGAAAAATGAATAAAATTGTTTCAGAGAAAACAACAGATATTAAATCTAGCTTTGTCCCTTTGAGATTAACTACAATCACAGAGTAGCAGATATGGTTAATACAATAAGCACACAAGATTCACACTCACCGTTGATTTATACTCGGCACCATACTGTCTATTTCTCTTTGGAAGTATTTGCCTGTGAATTCCAGAACCTCCGGCTGAAACATTCACAAATGAGTAAAGGTGAGTTCGGGAGTAGGAGACAACACAGAAACAGGAAAAGAAAACAAACCTTCTCATGCCCACCCTTTCCCATCTCCCCTCTACTGATGGTCACTAACACCCACAAACACCTTTACTAGAAATTCAAATCCTTACTGCGCCTACCCCCTCCACCATGACCCACCCTGCAGACCTTCAAGTGTAACCTTACTCCTGTTTTATAAATCTACAATGGTGGGTTCTTTTTCAACTATACGTTTTTAATGAGATCTACCTCTTGATTAAACTTTAAAAATATAAAGCATAGGTACTAAGTTGGCCTGGAGCAGTGTTTTTTACAGCAGTAAGACTGTGCTATTTTCTGGATCTGTAGATTATTAAGGTGCAAAGATGGCCTTTAGTAAAGTGATGTGATCTTCTTGTCGGATGTGGGAAATTAGGGAGAGTTTCCATGTTATTGATAATTACATCTGCAGGAAGTGTGTTTGGTTGTGAATGCTATTGGACCACATGGATCAGTTGGAGCAGCAGTTAATGGCAATGAGGAATTTACAGGAGCTAGGGATATGATGGATGCAGGAAGGGAGAAAAACCAGAGATACAGAGATACAATCAGGTAGATAGGTTACCTCCAAAAAAGACAGGAGAGGAAGGCAGGTCGTGCAGGAGTCTCCTTTGGCTCTCCCCATCTCAACTCCAGCATCTGCAATTCCTACTAGCCCATCTCAAACGAGTATGCTGTTTTGGAAAATGTACGGGGTGATGGATTGTCAGGCGAATGTAGCACTGACAACCAGGTCTCTGATACTGAGACTGGCTGTACGGTAATGAGGAGTACGTCAGGTTCCAAGTGATCGATTGTGATAGGGGACTCTCTAGTCAGAGGCACAGATAGATGTTTCTATGACCAACGAGATTTCAGAATGGTGTGTTGCCTCCTGGGTGCCAAGATCAAAGATATCTCAGAGATGGTGCAGAATATTCTCAAAGGGGAGAAGGACCAGCAGGAGGTCATTTTACACATTGAAACTAATGACACAGGAAGAGAAAAGGATGAGATTCTGAGGAGAAAATGTACGAAGTTAGGCAGGAATTTAAGAAGGAGGTCCTTGAGGGTAGTAATATCTGGAATTACTCTCAGTGTCACGAGCTAGTGAGGCTAGGAATAGAAGAATAGAGCAGATGAATGTGTGGCTGAGGAGCTGGTGCAGGAGAGAAGGATTCACATTTTTGGGTCATTGGAATCCCTTCTGGGATAGAAATGGCCTGTATAAGGAGGATGGAATGCAACTAATTGGAAGGGGACTGACATACTGACACGGAGATTTGCTAGAGCTGGTTGGGAGTGGGGGCAAGGAGGGCGGAGTGGTGAGATCCAGGGAGAGAGTGAGGAAAGAGATCAGTCTGAAACCAGTACAGTTGGCAAAAGGAGCACTTCAGTCAGGAACAAAGCAGAGACTGAGGTAGGACTGATAAATTAAAGTGCATTTATTTCAATGCAATAGGCCTAACAGGTAAGGCAGATGAACCCAGGGCATGTTTGGGAACATGAGACTGAGATATTGTAGCGATTACAGAAATGTGGCTCAAGGATGGACAGGACTGGCAGCTTAATGTTCCAGGGTACAGATGATACAGGAAGGACAGAAAGAGGTGCAACACAGGAGGGGAAGTGGCATGTTTAAGTGGGGATAATATTATGGTTGTACATAGGGAGGATATTCCTGGGAATACATCCAGGGAAGTTATTTGAGTAGAACTGAGACGTAAGAAAGGGATGATCACCTTTTTGGGAACTGTACAATTGACCAGCCCCACCAAGAGTCAGTGGGAAATTTTAACCTTCCAAACGTAGACTAGGACTGCCATAATGTTAAGGATTTGGATGGAGAGGACGTCGTTAAGTGAGTACAACAAAATTTTCCGGTTCAGTATGTGGATGTACCCTCTAGAGAAGGTGCAAAACTTGACCTACTCTTGGGAAATAAGACTGGGCAGGTGACTGAGGTGTCAGTGGGGGAGCACTTTGGGCCAGTGACCATAATTCTTTTAGTTTTAAAGTAGTGACGGAAAAGGATAGACTGGATCTAAATATTAACGTTCTAAATTGGAGGAAGGCCAATTTTGACAGTATTAGGCAAGAACTGTCAGAAGTTGATTAGGGGCGGATGTTTGCAGGTGAAGGGACGGCTGGAAAATGGGAAGCCTTCAAAAACGAGATAATGAGAGACCAGACACAAGTGTGTTTCTGTTAGGGTGAAGGGCAAGGCTGGTAGGAGCAGGGAATGCTAGATGACTAGAGAAATTAAGGTTTTGGTCAAGAATAAGAAGGAAGCATATGTCAAGTATAGGCAGCAAGAAATCAAATCGAGTCCCTAGAAGCACAGAAGGGTAGTAGGAGTATACTTGACAGGGAAATCATGAGGGCAAAAGGGAGACATGAGATAACTCTTGCAAATAGGATTAAGGAGAATCCAAAGAGATTCTACAAATACATTAGGAACAAAAGACTAACTGGGGAGAAAATAGGGCCCTTATAGATCAGCAACGCCACCTATAGGTGGAACTGCAGGAGATGGGGGAGACACTAAATGAGTATGTTGCATCAGTGTGGAGAAGGAAATAGAAGATAGAGAATGTGGGGAAATAAATAGCAACATCTTAAAAATGTCCACATTACAGACGAGGTGGTGCTGAACGTCTTGAAACGCATACAGGTGAATAAATCCCCAGGTCCTGATCAGGTATACCCTAGAACTCTGTGGGAAACTAAAGGAATGATTGCTGGGCGCCATGCTGAGACATCTGTATCATCGCTTGGTACAGGTAAGGCGCCGGAAGACTGGAGGTTGGCTAACGTGGTGCCACTATTTAAGAAAGGTGGTAAGGAAAAGCCAGGGAACTAAAGACCAGTTAGCCTGACTTCGGTGGTGGGCAAGTTGTTGGAAGGAATCCTGAGGGACAAGATTTATAGTGTCATAGAGCAACACAGCACAGCAAGATCCCACTGCCAGCTTGAACTTTTACAATGGGTGGCACGGTGCCTCAGTGGTTAGCACTCCTGCCTCACAGCGCCAGAAACCCGGGTTCAATTCCACCCTCGGGCGACTGTGTGGAGGTTGCACATTCTCCCCCGTATCTGCATGGGTTTCCTTCCAGTCCAAAGATGTGCCAGCTAGGTGGATTGACCATGTTAAGTTGCCGTAGTGTTCAGGTATGTGTAGGTTAGGTGGGTTATAGGGGATTGAGTCTGGGTGGGAAGCTCTGAGGGTCAGTGTGGACTTGTTGGGCCGAAAGGCCTCTTTCCACACTGTAGGGATTGTATGATTCACCACTCCACACACAGCCCACCAGCTCTAACAGACCTTTTCAACCTGCCCACAAACTATTCCCTTTGAGATCAAAGATACTCCCACACTATAAAAGGCAGTACATCCTTTACTTAATGAACATGATTTAACACAATAATAAAACATGGAGAAGTATTTGGATTTTACTCTAGTTAAATAATACCAAAGTAAAAGATATCTCCTTGTGGTTGGATAGGAATTTGGCAGAGGAAGGAAAGTACTTAGTTGACACGATCCATGAAGAACAAACATGTACCTTCTTCCTGACGTGAAGACAACTTTTTTTTAAAATCGAACTGGAGACTGACCCATCTTTTCTATGATCCTCCATGTTATTAAATGACAGAATAGCCTTAATATGTCCTAGAGTGACACCAGCATAATTGAGCAAGAGCTGAGGGCGAGTGTGAATTGAATACCCTACACTGAGACATGGAAAGGGGCATAGAAAAAAAATTACACCTACCTTTATAGCATGAATCTGTCTGCATCTCTTCGTCGTCATCATCAGCAGTTTTAAACTTTCGTTTCTGTGCAGCTTTCTAGATGGACAAAATTTAAAAAGAAAAATCATTGACACTGGAATACAGAGTCAAATAAACCAAAAGCCAGAGGACAGATTGGGCAGGACAGAGGCTGGGGTTTTAGGAGATTGGGGTGGAGGAACAGAGGTTGGTGCATTGGGATAGGACAGCCAGAAGCTAGCAGTTGCAAAGTTAGACCAGGGGTGGGTCAGGGAAAAGCTAGCTGTGGTAGGAGAAATAGTGACAGGCTACATGAGGAGGTGCAGGGGTATTAATGAAAATCAGGGCTGCACCAGGGCAGGGTTTGATGATTAACTGCTAGATAAATGATGTTTATGGTCTCACTGTCACTGGGACATTGGTAACAAAGTTCTGATGAAATTAAGGCAAACACTCACAGTTTTCACACCAACTTCCTCCAAGATTTCATTTGCTTCATCTTCAGAGTCTGTTAACAGAGGAATTTCCAAATATCAGCATCAAGTTAACTTAAGAGAAACCAACTCAGTGGGAGACAATAGGGCATACACCACCACTCTAAGTGACAGTCATCCCATCTCAATGGAGACTCCTTGCCATTGAGAAACAATGCAGTTCCGTTCAAGAGCACAAGAACACTCCAGAACAGAAGATCCCATGTAGCAACCTCTTCCCTGTCCCCAAATAGAATATAAGCAACAGAATATGCAGAAAGAACTTCCTGCTGCATGTGCCGTGTCTCAAAGCCTCCAAATGACACTGAAAAATCTTCACTGGAGTTTGTTTGCAAAATTAGCAATGTACAGAATAACAAGCTGACTGGAAGGCATGCTTCGAGCCACCCTGACCAGAGGAAAAGTTGTAACAACTGGGGAGGTCTCTGGTTGAATTGATCAGAGGAGGAGGGCATCTTCATACTGGACTCCACGCAGAAACAGCAAAGATGCCCAGAACATTCACCTTTGAGTTGTTCATCCTTTGCCCCTTGACTGATTACCAATCGGCCATCTGACATCACTGGGAAATCGTGTTTAATGCTTGCTTTCTTCTTCATCTCTGGCTTAGTGGCTGCAAGAAAAATTAGTAATGATTGAATGAGGTGGAAGGAAAACTATCATTGCCAATTATGTTAGTAGGCAACTTATTTGCCCAATCATACTGCAAGATACTGGTAAATACATTTTCTTTCCTTTATTCATTCACAGGACAACAGTATTGCTGATCAGACAGCATTTATTGTCCATTCCTAATTGCTGGTAGAGAAGTTTAGAATCAACCACATTGCTGTTGGTCTGGAGTCACATGTAGGCCAGACCAGATAAGGATGGCAGCTTCCTTCCCTAAAGGACGTAAGTGAACCAGATGGGTTTTTCTGACAATCGACAATGGGATCATGGTCATTATTAGATTCTTAGTTCCAGATCCTTTATTGAATTCAAATTCCACCATCTGCCATGGCGGGATTCAAACCTAGGTCCCCAGAACATTATCTGGGTCTCTGGATTAGTAGTCCAGCATTCATACCACTAGACCATTGCCGCCCCTTGTACAAGGCATGAAACTGCGTTGCAACTATCACTGCTTAGATTGATTCAGTAACTGCAGCTTTCATTACCTCAAGGACTTTACAGGCAAATGTCAGTACTTGTGTAGTAAATCACATTATATTTAGTATGTGTAGAAATTAGTGGGTACTGTCAATAGATGTCATGCTGTGCTGAGTCACCATTTTTCCATGGAATTAAAGGGAATCTAGCAGCATGGATACAAACGTGGCTGAGTGACAGGAAACAATGTAAATATCAGCAGATGCTTTTCAGACTAGGCAAAGGTATAAAATGTAGCTCCCCGCGACAGTAGAATACTGTCCATTGCTTCTCTTGATCTGTATTAACAGCCTTGGGTGCCTGGGGTATGATTTCCAAATTTACAGATGACATGAAATTTGGAAGTACTGTGATCTGTGATGTGCACAGGGACAGAGTTCAAGTGGGCAAAGCAACCTGGAGGATTGGATGAACATGTGGCAGCTGAAATTTAATTCAGAGTAGTATGAAGTTACACATTTTGGCAGGGAGTATGAGAAAAGGTCAAATAAAGAGTACAGTTCTAAAGAGGGTTCAGGAGCAGTGGCGAGTACATGTACACAAATTGCTGAAGGTAACAGGAGGTTAGAGAGTGATTAATAAGTCAAACAAGATGCAGTGGTTGAAAAACAGAGAACATCAAGTCAAGATGAACGTCAAAAAAAAATGACCTGAAGGTTGATGTTTTTTTCTGTAAACAGTGTCACTAGTATCAGGAATGAGCTTCCCCAGTATACAGTAGAGGCAAGGTGTGGGAGTGGAACTAGCTGATTTGCATTTACAGAGAACCAGTATAGACATGATGGGCTGCATGACCTCCTCGGATAACCATTCTAAGAATCTTGTGACGGTTCTGGGAGTGGGAGCAAGGTCAAGAAGAAATTTAATTGAGTGGGAGACCAAAAATCAACTTACTGACAGTGGGATAAAACTAAAATATTACTTACAGGGACATTTGCAAGTCGGTTGAGTTTCCTGACAGGAAGCATTGCAAAGTTTTTTGTGTACATTTGTGCACTCTGTATGCTTAAAAAAAGGCAATCTGGCTAGAATTAACTTCTCCTTGCCAACTAAACTGTTTGCAAGTGAGAAATATGTATCTTCAAATTTCAAGCTGCATATAAGTGCTGTGCAGCAGTGAGGGCAGATGATTTACTGGTTTTTGAGTGAGTCGCTGCTGTTTTCTTCCTAGTGGTGGGGTTGAGGAGATGTTGTTCAATGATGCAATGATACAGATCAAGTAGAATCTTGATCAAGTAGAATCCCACTGCGGACACACAACAGGGAGACTGTCTGAGGGTGGGAGAGAGGGAGACTGGGGCAGAGTCTGGCTGAGGGAGGCAAGAAACATGGGGCCAGGAGGCTGGTCAGGGGAGGGAACAATCCTGGGAAGGGGAGAAAAATTGAGGAAAGGAGGGAGGGAGAAATGATAGGACAGGGAGGGTGGCCAAGTGAAGGAATAGTCCAGGGCAGGGAGGCAGACAGGGACAGAAGGCGAGGATGCAGGAACATAGGAGAGAGGGTAGGTCCTTGGATATTAAATGTTGTGGCCCTGTGGAGAGAGGGGAGAGGAATTTATGGGCACAGATGTGCAGAAAGAGAGGTTCTAAAGGATAGGTTCAATGATGTCTATGGTGAGGTCCTGCAGGTTGATCTGATGGTATTAGGAAGCAGAGCATACAGTGACCTTAAAAGGGGAAGTAAATTGTATTAGGGTTAATGGTAGATGTGTTTTCCCCAGGATGGGGGATTTAAAGACTAGGGGTCAAATTTTTAAGGTGAGAGAAGAGAGATTTAAAAAAGACATGAGGGGCAGTTTTTTTTTAAAACAGAGAGTGACTCGCATGCAGAATGAACTTCATGAGGAAGTGTGGATGTGGGCACAGTTACAACGTTTAAAAGACACTTTGCTAAATCCATGAATAGGAAAGGTTTGGACGGATATGGGCAAGCAGGCAGGTGAAACTAGTTTAGTTTGGAATTATGGTTGGACCAAAGAGTCTCTTTCCACGCTGTATGACTCAATGACACCTCACACATCGGCACTGGCACCAGCCCCTCAACTCTCAACAGCACAGTCAAGGCACTGTCTTTGAATGCAGACTGGTCCTGTACCCCCGGCAGTTACTGTATTAAAAACCTTCCCCACTTCGCCATTTCCTGCTTCCACAAGAAACACACAAATAGCAGATGTCAGCCATTTGTCCCTTTCAGCCTGACCTGCCAATCTACTAAATTATTTGTGTCGCAAATTCCACATTCAAATGTACCTCTGATAAGCTTTGATTCCCCTAACAAAAGTTGATCAACTCCATCTTAAATAAGGAAACCGATATTGCACAATATTCAAACTTCACTGATGCCCTGTATAACAAGCAGCATAACATCCTTACTTGTATGTTCCTCTCATCACAAAGATACATCTTATTAGCTTTCTTAATCACTTGCTCTACCCTGCACATTAATTTTTAGTGACTTAGGGACTACAACACCTAGATCACTTCAAACTTTGAAATCTGTTCTGTGTTTAAGTAATAGTGCTTTTTCATTCTTCCTGTCAAAGTGAACTTTACATTTTTCGACATTGTACTCCATCTGCCAGATTTTTGCTCACTCACACTGATCTGCATGCAAACTCCTCATGTCTTCTTCACAACATACTTTATCTATTTTTGTATAATTTCCCCCTTCCCTTCCTTCTGCCCTTTTAGGACTCTGAAGGAATGCAGACATAAGAGGATGAGGTGGGAAAGCACAGGTGAGCATGAACAGTAGCAATAGCCAATTTCACTGACAGCAGACTTGAGGGGTCAAATGGCATCTTTCTACAACTTGTATTCTTACCCAACACCCTCTGTGCCACTTTCTGATCCAGAAAATTGAGGGGTTCGTCAGCTTCCCCTTCCTTCAGCCAGGCAGAGCTCTTCTGGACAATTCGTTTCTTTGTCACTTTCTCTGTTTTCTCATTAACCTCTTCATCAGAATCAGTCTCAGCCAGAATCTCTTCAATACTGGAAAAAACATCATACCGACAAACTGAGCTTCACAGTTGCAAACCACTCAAGTTAGACTCGAAAAGACCAATACGCCATGTAATTAGATTCTGGGCAAATCAGGTTAGCATGTCGAGGTCTGACATGGAGATGATGTTTCCATGAGTAAGAGAGACCAAGACCCGAGGGCACAGCCTCAGAGTGAAAGGTCATTCCTTTAGAAATGAGATTAAGACAAATTTCTTCAGCCAGAGCATGGTGAATCTGTGGAACTCATTGCTGCAGAAAGCTGTGGAGGCCAAGTCATTCAGTGTATTTAAGACAGAGATAGATAGGTTTTTGATGAGTTAGGGGATCAAAGGGTTACAGGGATAAGGCAGCAGACGGGTTGAGAAATGTATCAGCCACAAACAAATAGTGGAGCAGACTCAAAGGGCTGATGGCCTAACTCTGTTCGTATATCTTATGGTCTTACATCAATGTGGCAATTGCATCAGCTATGTTGGTGACGATCACATTTCAAGAGTTAGAAGGTCGTGGATCCAAGCCATACTTGAGAAAGGAGGACAAAAATCTAAGATGATACCAAGGGAGCGCTGCCCTGTCAGAGGGTCAATAACAAGGTGATGCTGCATTGCTGGAACTATCCACATTTGAAATAGATGGTAAACAGAAGCCTTTGGCTCACTTGATGATAAATTATCTACTAGTTGTATATTAAAGAAGAGGAAGGGTATCTGAAAGAGTTTCACAGTCTAAGGGAGAGATGATAACATACTCCAACTCGAAACAGAATTATTTCACCACCCCAAAGTAAAACATGGTGCAAGTTTATACACAAGTGCGTGTGGCCACCTCTGAAGCTATTCTCAGTTCTAACATGATACCTTTTGACCGCATTAGTGAATTCTTGGTATTTAACCTCTCAAACATTAAAAAAATACTCCTTTTGCAGTTTGTAGGAGTTTAGTCTGTGGAAATTAGCAGCTACTGTGACTAGGCCTAAAGAGTTTTTAATTGGCTGTACAATACTTTGGGATGCCCTTGGGTTGTAAAAAGAGTCAGAGAGAGTTTGAGGTCATAGTTGTTACAGCATGTAAAAAGACCTTTCAGCTCATTGCATCCTCAATGGTCATCAAGCATGAATCTATCCGTTCTCATCCCTTTTTACTTGTCCTTGTAATCTGTGCTGTTTCAAGTGATCATCTAAATACTAGTTAAACATCTTGATGGCTCCTGCATCCATCACCCTTTTAGGCAGAGTTCCATTGTGGTATAATACTATTAACAGAAGTGCTGCAAAAATATAATTCTTTCTTTTACTAGCCCATGTGATGAAAAATACAGACCCATTGATCATCACAACTCTGCAGAGTGTCAAAAGTCATTCCTAGATTATTTTACTCCTCACCTGTCCCCATTCTGTTTTGGAGTTTCATCTTCGCTCTCTGAGCCACCCGCTGCTCGTTTCAGAGCTCGTTGCCTCTTATTCCGGGCCTCTGCTTTACGAATGTTGACAAGCACTCGATGGTATTCCTCTGGAGCCATACTGTCAATCATCTCAAATCTGAAGTATTGGTAAGAGGGATGTGGGTCAGAAGCACACCAAAAGAGAACAACAAACACAAGAAATTCACAATCTCAAATGTAGATTCTCAAAACAGAGAGCTAAGTGAATGAACAAGTAATTCGTAATGCGTAGCACCTAGTTCAGTATTTAACCAATAGTTGCAGGGAGCTCAGACACTCCAAGTTTCAATTTCACAACAGCCTAACAGATTGGCTTACTGAGGACTCTTCATAATTGGCTCTGGGTAAGCTAATCAAACAATACTACAATACCGACATCTATCTAACAAAAAAAAACAGGTAAATCCAACCAGAATAGCCTCCTTCTAACCATAAAAAAGTTACAGCACAGAAAGAAGCCATTCAGCCACTATGTCTGCACAAGTTGACTAAATTTGGTACTTATTCTTAATCTCACTTTCTAGCATCTGGTCTGCAGCCTTGCTGTTAGAGCACTTCTGGTGCTGATCCAGGTTCCTTTTAAATGAGTTGAGGGTTTCTGCCTCAATCACTAAACTCAGCAGTGAAGTTCAGACACCCACAACCCTCTGCGTGAAAGCAGCCCTCAAATCCTTCTGTTAATCACCTTAAATCTGTTCCCACTAATTACCAACCTCTCTGCCACAAGGAACAGATCCTTCCCATCCACGCCCTTCATTATTTTGTACACTTCAATTAAATCATCAGTCAGCATCCTCTGATTCATGGAAAACAGCCTTAGCCCCTATCCAATCTCTGCTCATACCTACAATTTTCAAGCCCTGGCAACATTCTTGTAAATCTCCTCTGAATTCTCTCTATAGCAATTATGTTCTTCCTGTAATGTCATGACTAGAACTGTACATAAAACGGCAGCAATAATCTAAAGGTGATTTGTACAGTTCCAGCATTACATCCCTGCTCTTGCATTCAATGCCTCATCCAATGAAGGAAAGCATCCATGTGACTTCTTTGCCACTTTATCTATGTCTTGTCACCGTCAGTGAACAATCACTCCAAAGTCTTTCACTTTCTTTCTCCTCTCATTACCCTCCCGTTTACTGAGTATTCCCTTAAGTTTGTTTGCCCTCACCAAATGCATGTGCTCGCACATTTCCAGACTGAATTCCATTTGCCACTTTTCCGCCCACTCAACCAAACCTCTGGTTTCAGTCGAAAGCATCTCTTCAATTTCAAAGTCCCAGCCAATTTTTGTTACCCGCAAATTTCCTAATCATGCCCTCCACTTTTAAGTATGAACCACAAACAGCAAGGGACCAAAACACTGAGCCCTGTAGAATACAACTGGAAAACACTTTCCACTCACAAAAGCAGCTGTCACCCATTACCATTTGATTTCTGTCAGTGAACTCATTTTCGATACAAGTCGTTACATTCCCTTATATTCCATGCACTTTAAATTTTCTGACCAGTCTGCCACACAGGACCTTATCAAAGGCTTTTCTAAGAGTCTTATAGACGTTTTCTGCACTACCAATAATCCTCTTTGCTAATTCCTCAAAAAAAATCAATGAAGCTAGTTAAACTTGATACTGCCTTAATAAAATCATGTAGATTAATCCATGCTTTCAGTAAATTACTCCTTTCCCTCAGTATTGATTACAGCAATTTGCCACTGCCAAGGTCAGACTCACCAGCCCAAAATTATTCAGCCTATCCTTCGCACCTTTTCTGAAGGACGGTACAATGTCAACAGACAGCCAAACCTCTGGTATCTTCTCTGTGTCGACTAAGGATTGGAAAATGATCAGAGTTCCTGCTATTCCCATCCTAGCTTCTTTGAACAGCCTAAGACATAATTCATTTGGCCCTAGTGATTTACCCACTTTCCAAGTCAGTCCCTACACCATTTCCTTTCTTTTGCTGTTTTTATTTTATCCTCTATTTCACACAGTTCCTCTTTAACTATAATGTCTGCATAATCTCTCTCCTCTGTGAAGACACAGGCAAAGTATTTATTAAGAACCTTCCCCAATCATCTGCATCCATGCACAAATTACTATGTACATCTCTCGATAGGCCCTCCCGTTCCTTAGTCATCCTCTTATTCATGTACTCAAAACTTCTTTGGATTATCCTTAATTTGATCAGCCAATGTTTTCATTTTTTTTTTCTTTCCCAGTTTACTCTTTCACTTATACCCTGTACTTTCCAAACTCCTCTAAGTTTTCTAAAGGAATACTTTTTTCAAGATTGTAAGCAGTTCTATTCTCCTGCTTTATCTTACCCTGTATGTTTCTGCATAACGAGGTGGCTCTTGACTTGGCAGTACCATCCTTTTTCTTTGTGGGGTCATGTTTACACTGTGACTGCAGAATCCCACTTTTAAACACTTTCAACTGATTCTGCCACAGACTTGCCTTCAAGTAGCTGTAATTAGTCCAGTTTTGCCAGATCAGCTTTGTAAAATTTACCTTCTCCAAATTTAGATTATTCCTGTTCTATCTTCATCCCTTTCCACAATGATGCTGAATCACCTGTATTTCCATCACCATTTTCAAAATGATTACTTACTGCTATTTCATCCACCTGCCCAGCTTCCGAAGACTAAATCTAGAATTGCACTCTGTCTTGTTGGGCTCATTATGTATTGGCTAAAATAGTTTTCTTGAATGCAATTCAATAATTTTGTGCTCTATGTTCATCATCATTGAATCCTTACAGTATGGAAACAGGCCCTTCAGCCCAACAAGTTCACAATGACCCTTAGAGCATCCCACCCAGACCCATCCCCCTATAACCCACCTAAGCTACACATCCCTCAACACTACAGGCAATTTGGCACGGTCAATCCACCCAGCCTGCACATCTTTGGACTGTGGGAGGAAACCAGAGCACCCGGAGGAAACCCACACAGACACGGGGAGAATGTGCAAACTCCACACAGACACTCGCCCGAGGGTAGAATCGAACCCGGGTTCCTGGCGCTGTGAGGCAGCAGTGCCAACCAATGTTCTTACACACCGTTCGTACACCTGCTGATATTTAGTTAGTTGAGTGTCCAACTATTACTACCCTATTGCTTTTCATTTAGAAACTTGACATCATATTTGCTCCTCCAACACTTGCCCATTATTTCAGGGTTGCCTATTAGTGCTTCTGTAATTTTTTCGTTTCTAACCTCAACACATATGGCTTTATTTGATGCTGCATTTAGTGCATCATTCCTTCTCAAAGCTGTAATCAATTCACTACTAATGCCACACCCAGCCCTTTGGTAGTCATTATATTTATCAACTATCAACATCTTTTCTCCCCCAGCACTCTACACCCCACCCCCCAACTACAGCATAAATGCTGCCACTTCCAGACTTCACTTCAGTTCTGATGAAGAGTCATCTAGGCTCAAAATGTTAGCTTGCTCTCACTCCATAGATGCTGTCTGACCACCTGTGATCTCCAGCATTTGTTCTTTTCAATATATTCATACAGCTGGTCAATGGTATTCAGTGATGTTCACATAACTGAATGTCAAAAGAAGATGGTTAGATTCTCTTGTCAAAGATGGTAACTACCTGGCAGCTTACAGGGAAAACATTACTTGTCACCAGTCAACCCAAGCCTGATGAGCAATCATCAGCAAAATCTGACCTAATGAGGAAGGAAAGGTCATTGTTGAAGCAGCAGAAAACAGTTTAGCCAAGGACACTACCCTGAGGAATTCCCACAGTGATGTTCTGAGATGGAGATGATTAACCTCCAACAACCTCAAACATCTTCCTTTGTGTCAGGTCTGACTCTTGAGCAGCAGACAGTTTTCCCTGATTCCCACTGACTCCAGTTTTGCCAGGACTCCTTGATGCCATACTTGGTCCAATGCTGCTTTGATATCAAGGGCAGCACTCTCACCTCCTCGATGGGAGTTCAGCCCAGTTCAAGTTTTGACCATGGTTGTGAAGAGGCTTGGAGCACTGGTGGAACCAAAGTGAATTGGTGAGCTAAGGAAGTGCTGCTTGATAGCACTTTGTTGATACTTTCCATCAGTTTCCTGATGATTGAGAGATTGATGGGGCAATAATTGACTGGATTGGATTTGCCCTGCATTTTTTTGTAAATGACACGCTTTTGCCGTTTTCCACATCACTGGGTAGGTACCAGTACTGTAGCTGCGCTGGTACAGCTTGGTTAGAGGCATTGCTAATTCTGGAGCACAAGTCCTCAAATAAAATGAGAACAGTGGGCCTGAACACGGCTAACAAGGGAAATTAAAGCTAGTATTAGATCAAAGGAAGGGGCTTAAAAATCAACAAAATAAAAAGCAACTGACCTACAGACTCAGAGCAGTTTAGATTTCAGTAAAGGTCAAAGGGATTGATCGGGATTGGGGTTGGGGTTGGGGTTGGGCTTGGGGGCGGGGGAACACAATATGCGGGACATATACCAATAGGACCTTTTACAAACAGTGTGTTAAGAGAAAAAGAATAGCAAAGACAAATGTAGATCCCTTGCAGCCAGAAACAGGAAATTATAATGAGAAAAGAGATGGCAGATCAATTAAATACATATTTTGGTTCTGTCTTCACACAGTAGGACACAAATAATGTCCCAAAAATGTTGTTAGAATGCAGGGAGTGGAAGGAACTGAAAGCGGTATTAGAAGGGAAATGGTGTTGGGAAATTGTTGGGATTAAAGGTCAATAAAACATCAGAGCTCAATAATCTATATCCCAAAGCACATAAGGAAATATGGCCCTAAAAACAACGGATGCATTGATAATCATCTTTCAAGTTCTACAGACTCTGTAATAGTTCGAATGGACTGGAGGGCAGCTAATGTAACCCCACTATTTAAAAAAGGTGAAGAGAGAAAATGGAATTATAGACTGGTTGGACTAACATCGGTAGTCAGTGAAAATGCTAGGGGTCCATTATAGAAGATTTAATAGCAGAGTGCTTGGAAACCAGGATAGGATCTGACAGTCAGCATGGATTTTTGAAAGGGAAACCATGCTTGACAAATCTACTGAAATTTTTCATGGATGTAACTAGTAGAGTTGATGGGGGAGGGCAGTGAATGTGGTTTACTGGAACTTTCAGAAGGCTTTCAATAAGGTCCCACATAAAAGAGATCAGCATGTAAGATTAAAGCACATGGGACTGGGATAAAGTACTGACACAGACAGAGAACTGGTAGGATACAAAAAACTGGAATAAATGAATAGGGCTTTGGACTGTGTTTCCTGTGAGAAGGAATTTGGCTGTTGACGCAACAGCTTGAAGATTTGAAAGCTCCCTGCGGAATCACCCATGATCATCAACCTGAAATTCAGAGAACACGGCATGGGTGAGAATACGGGCAGCACGGTGGCTCAGTGGTTAGCACTGCTGCCTCACAGCGCCAGGGACCCGGGTTCGATTCCATCCTCGGACGACTGGTTTCCCCAATGTAGAGGAGGCCACATCAGGAACAGCGGATACAGTATACCACATTACCAGATGTCCAGGTGAACATCTGTTTGATGTGGAAGGTTTTCTTGGGGCCTGGAAAGGGGGTGGGGGGGGGAGGTGTAGGGGCAGAAATGTAGAGATGCTTTAGTGTGACTTGGATAAGTTGAATAAGTGGGCAAATGCATGGTAGGTGGGATATAATATGGATAAATGTGGTGGTTTCCATTTTGTAGCAAAAACAGGAAGGCACATTGTTTGAACAATGATAGGTTGGGAAAGGGAAGGTGCAATGAGACCTAGGATCCTTATACGCCAGTCACTAGAAGTAAGCATGCAGGTGCAACAGGTATGGCAAATGGTATATTAGCCTTCATGGCAAGAGAATGCCAGTACAGGACCAGGGAATGTCTTACTTCAACTGTGAAGGGCCTTGCTAAGACTGCATTTTGGATGAATTTGGTCTCCCTGTCAGGGTAAACATGTTCTGGAAATGGAGAAAATGCAGACTGATTCCTGAGATGATAGGACGGAAATATAGAGAGAAATTAGATTGGTTAGATCTATATTCACTGGAGTTCAGAAAAATTATGTGGGGTTAGATCTTATAGAAAACTATAAAATTCTAACAGGACTGGACAGGGTGAATACAGGAAGGATGTGACCGATGACAAGGAATCCAGATCTAGGGGTCATAGTTTTAGGATATGAGCCAAGGCATTTAGAACAGAGAGGAGGAGAAATTTCTATACCCAGAGAGTGGTAAGCCACAGAAAGCAGTTGAGGCCAAATCACTGAATGGTTTTAAGAAGGAATTAGATATAGTTTTAAGATCAAAGGAAATGGGAAGAAAGCAGGAACGAGGTACTGAATCAGACGATCTGCCATGATCATGTCAAATGGTGGAACAGACTTCAAGGGCCAAGTGGCCTAATCCCCCTCCTATATTCCATGTTACATTTTACTATTGTTGGAATGTCGTCAGGGCCGATAAAGACATTGCAGTATTGGAGCCTTGTTTGAAGGCTAGGTAATTTAATGCTGGAAACATCAAGAGGAGATGGCCAAGATAGATTGTCCACTTAGCACTTTTGACGGAAAGAAGATACAAATGCCTCAGACTTGCCTTTTGCACTGATCTGCTGGGCTCCTCCACTGTGGACACCTCCTGTTCATTGCTCAACTGTCCACCACCAATCATATGGCCAATGTGAAACTACATTCAGCTCTGCCTGCAGCGAAAATGTTCCTGTAATTACGGCTCTGCACTTACCCAAACTTGCGTATGAATTTTGTGAAGATATTTTTCAATTTTACACGGAAATGCCGTCTCATATCATCCCGCATATTGCCAATACTCTCCATCTGCCAATACAAAAGCAATATGAAAAAAGGCTTTTACACACAATGAGTAGTCAGGGTCTGGAATTCCCTGCCTGGGAGTATGGTGGAGGCAGGCATAATTGGTGCATTTAGAAGACAGCTAGACAGTTAATTTGAGAAAGAAGAACATGATGGCTTAAGGGGAGACGGCAGGAGAATAGAACTAGGTGAACTGTTCATTTGGATCGTTAGTACAAACAATGTGCTGAATGGCTTTCTGTGCAAATAAAATTCCTATGAAAGAAACAGAATTCAGTAGAAATGGATGAGAGAAAAGTGGAGGGAAAGGAAGAAGAGCAATAATGGAGTGGAAGGATGAGAGGGAGGCAGAAAAGGGAAGACAAAGAGGTGTAGGCCATTTGGCTCTTAAGCCTTCACCAACTAAATTCAACTCTTTGCTCCAGCTCATCATAACCCTCAATTCCCCGATATTTCAAAAATCTACATGCCTCTAGGACTGATACTTGTGGTACTTCAATAGTTACATCTTTCCAAGCTGGAAAGAATCCATTAATCCCAACTATCTTCTGTGTTAACCAATCCTCAGTCCCTGCTAACACATTAACCTTGATACCAGGAGCACCTCTCTTGCAATAACGTTTTATGTGGCACCTTATCAAATGCCTTCTGAAAACCCAAATACACCACATCTATTAGTTCATCTCTATCAAATCTGCTTGTTATATCCTCATCCTGGCAAATTTGTCAAACATGATTTCTCTTTCACAAAACCATACTGACTCTGTTTGATTGCATTAAGATTTTCTAAATAGCCTGCTATTTCTTCCCGAATAATGGACTCTAGCATTTCCCAATGACAGATGTTAGGTTAACTGGCCTATAGTTAACTTCTTCCTGTCTCTCTCCTATCTTGCACAGGGGTGTCACGTTTGTGGCCTTCCAATCTGTTGGAACATTCCTGAATCAAGTTGAGCTCCAGATTATTTCAACCAATACCTCCATAAACTGTGCAGCCACTTCCTTGATAACTCAGATACAGGCCGTCAGGTCCTAGGGACTTGTCTGCCTTTTGTCCCATTAGTTTATCAACTACATTTTTTCCTCATGATGGAGGCTTTAAAAAAATCTTTCCTCCCATTAGACCTTGCTTATTTATTGTCTTTGGGATATTTATGGTGTCCCCCAATATGAACACCAATGCAAAATACTGGTTTAATTATCTGCAATTTCCCTGTTCCCCATTATTAATTCCACCAGTTGCATCTTCCAAGGGTCCCGCACTCACTTTCAACTACTCTCTTTTTATATACTTGTAGAAGCTATTGCTGTTTGCTTTTATATTTCTTGCCAATTTACTTTCATAATCAATTTTATGCTTTTTTATAGCTTTTAATCATTTGTTGCTTGTTCTTAAAAAATACCAATTGTCTGATCTACAACTAGTTTGCACAACTTTGTATGTCTTTTTTTCAAATGAATACTCTCCTCGATTGCCTTTGTTCACCACAAGTGGTCATTCTTCCAGTCATCCTTTTTCACCAGTAATTTTTTTTTTTTTTTTTTTTTTTTTTTTTTTAAGTGTTTTATGAAATAACTGCTTAAATGTCTGCCACTGATCATCCATTGACTATCTCCATGATCTATTTTCTCAGCCAGTTTAAAGAACTCTTTCTTTATGGCTCTGTATTTGCTCCTCAGAAGTTGAGACCAGAGCTGCTCTCCCTTAAGCCGTATTTGAAATTCTATGTTGTGATTGTTAACCCCACCAAGGATCCTTATATACAAGACCTCTTATAAATCCATCGTCATCACACATTTCTAGATCTAAATTAGCCTGTTCTGGGTAGGTTCCATAATGCACTGCTCTAAAAAACAATCCCAGACGCACTCAGCAAATACACCTTCCATGTTACTCTTGCGCATATAGTTTGACTGGGAGAGTGGGGCAAGGGCAGCTAGAGATGCAGGATGAGGGAGGCTAAGAATACAGTTTCTTTCATCTGCAATCACTAGTCCTTGGAATAGCAACACCACACAGTTGGGAATTGGGGACGCTGTTATGCTGCCAGGGCACTGCAAGTGTGATTACAGCTTTGACTAGTATTACTCACCAGGACCTGCAGCTGCTGAGCCAGAACCTTCGTATCCATGATGAACAGAATAACTTTGATAAAACTCAGAGCCGATTTGATAACATCACGTGTTTTGGACTGCAGCAGGAGGCAGATGTTTTGAAGCAGCTGTTCAATAGTGGAAATGTCCATTTGATCTGAGGGCAAGAGGGAGAAAATCAGAATCATTTGTCCCTGTGGGTTCGAGCTCCAACAGATCCTGCTGATGGCCACTTCCTTTGGCTCTTTTCCATTTCCCCAAGAAGTGTCCTACACAGTGGTATCTACCGAATTCTCTCAATCCAACATTCCCTGCTGTTCCAAGAAAGATTGGTTCAACAAGCCACACAAATGAACATTTCACACTGCATCCAAGACTAATCATGTTTCAAGGAGCACGATGCACAAGACAGATCCACTGACTGGACCATTCCAACATAGAAAATAACACAGTTAAGCAGGAACATAATGGTCTCACATTTTTACAGATGACTGACAAACTTCACTCACTGATACTCAAGAATAGGAGGGAAGGATTCAGATATATTGGCTTCAGCTAAATCTTTACATTTCTCATTCTGTACCTTTGAATTCAAACACGAGCCGAGTGAGTGCAAGAACGGTGCAGCTGATCATTGTAACGGATCCGGTTAAACCAGCATATACTAATGCCAGGTACTGGCCAACAGCCTCTACAAAATAAACACAGCTTATTAGGAATTTTACACTCATGTTTCTCTTTCTTTTGGTCCCTCAAGAATACTGACAAGATACATCAGTGTGCTTGGGGAATGTTCCACAATACCATGACCCCAACTGGCCCATAGTCCAGCAAATACCGCACATCTAATTAACATAAATTTAAGAACCAAGGCAGAAATGGTTTACTACTAGGGATGGATGAGACCAAGGATACAAACTCACCTCTTGAGTCTTCATAGAACCTCAAAAAGGCCCGTCCGAACTCAACTAATAAGGTGTAGCCATTTCTACGAGCTCCAATGGAGACCTCTTTCATGCAGATTATAACCTTCAGATTAAAAAGTTTTCTGAATTAATTCCATGACATGTCAACAATCAACATCGTGAAATAACAATCCGTACAACGGTGCATAGGGCCAGTCTTAATATTACTGCATTCCTGAAATTCAACTTGGATTCCTACATTATGACACGGAACTGTCTCTGCTCAAGCAAATGGGTTTCTCTCTGATTCAGTTAGTTCTACTTTAGCCACACTAAAAAATTACATAAAATTTACACTGCAGAAACAGGCCAGTAGGCCCAATCAGTATGGGCTGGAATTCATGCATCACTTGAATCTCTTTCCATCCTTCCTCACTTAAAATGACTATGACCCTTCATTCCTTTGTACCTTCTCATCTTCCTTGAAAAGTATTTATTTTACTGGCATTAACATTTCCTTGTGATAATGAGGACCATATTCTCAGCACTCATTTGTAAATATATATCTACTTTATCAAAGCCTTACATCATTTTTCTATACATTTCTCTTTCAAGGGAAAGAGAGAGACATTTTAGTTCTCAAAATTATTTGCATCCTAGCCAATATCCCTACTATTTTTATAATTAAAAAGATTAGATTGTGCACAACAGCTCAAATGTGGGCTGACTAACGCTTGATACAAGTTTAGCAGAACTTGTTTTCAGAAATAAACCCAAAGGGCTTGGTTTGCTTTCAATAGTCTTGCTATTTCCAATGATTTGTGCATTTGTACTCCTGATCCCTTTGTTGCCGTGTATTCTTATCATACCACACCTATTCGTTGTCATACAGAAACTTAGAAATTGAATTTTCATTTCCAAAGTTTAAATTATTAATTGTGAACTGCAGTGATTCTGTCACTGATTCCTGTACGGCTTCACTTTCTGCCTACTGCCACTTGAAACAGTCATTCTTTATCCTCCTTGCTCTTTTGGTCCTGCAGCTAGCTAAATGATAATATTGTTATTTGTCTCCTGACTCCACCATTAATCATTAAGCTATTGTACACATTTTATCAAAGAAAATTCAGGTAAATTGTATTTACCACATAATCCATGTGTACTGCGTCACCTGTTCGAAGAATTTAATGAGGTCGATCAAGCAAGATTTTTCCATCTGATATTTATGCTCACTATTTATCACATTATTTTCCATTTCTCAATTTTCTATTCTCTACTTTTGTAGGGAGTCCATTAGCTCTCCAAAGATGGGCTCTCTCTTTTCCAAAACACAGGTAAAACATGGGCTATCAACCAGTGCTCTGCACTACTTTTCTAACGAACTATTAAGTAGGTACAAGAGTACCTCTGCCATCTCCTCCTTTAAAGAGTTTTACTTCTTAATTACGACTATTTTGTTCACTCATTAATTTTTTCATGGGATATAGGCATTGCTAGGCCACCATTTAGTACCCATTCCCAATTGTCCCTGGGAAGGTGGGTTATGGTGCCTTCTTAAATTGCTGCAGTCCAGATGGTCAATATATATCTTCTGAATTCTCTGTTGGATTTCTTGTTGAATATACTAGCTATTTTCTAATAAACATGTTCAGAGTGTAATTACACACTTTTTGAGCACGTGGGGCTTGAACCTGGCCCTTCTGGCCTACAGATAAGGACACTACCACTGCGCCACAAAAGGCCTTTGTTGACTTTTCATTCAGGGCAGCTCATTGTAATTTTCCCATAAGAGCAAACATTCTTTGTGTCTGCTCTAACAAAATAAACTTTCATAATGTTAAGGACTTCTATTAGATCACCTTTGGCCTTCTCTTTTCAACAAAAAGAGACCAAGGCTGTTTATACATTTCCAGTGCATACAACCTTACAGTTCTAGCATAACGGTTGCCAGTCTTTAAGTTAGCAACAGAGACAGCACCAAGTACAACCTACAACCATAGTTTATTTCTTATGATTTTGGTTCCTGGGGTTGTGGGGGGGACGGCGGGATCTTAATACTGACAACAGGGGAGTCTCTGCTCCTCATAGCACATCTCACAGGATGTTCTCAGACTGTACTTCCCAAACTGCAGCTCATGAGCCCAGGGCATTCATGAGCTGCTGGGGTAGCAAAGGCTGCCATGAAGCTCCAACAAGGCTTCTGAGGTTCCTTTAAATTCCAACTATTTTTTATTGGTGAGAGTGACGTAACAGACCTGCTCCCTGCCTCAAGAAGATATGATTTTCAAAATCCCTAAAGATGAAAGCCCTGATCTCTCAGCAAAGTCGTGGCAATTTTCATGCCTCAAAATTGGGTCACAGTTGGAAAAGGTTTGGGATGCAACACACTCCAACTGGGGAATGCTTCAACTTAAAACACAATACCCTGCAACAAGACAGCACTCCCACAGCATATCAGCAGACAGCGAGATGGAAAATAAATGATTTGAATAATTGATTGTGTCCTACCTCAGGAAGCAATGCAACAATGAATTGCTGATGTTCCACTGACAGCTGTTTGACAATATGAATCAGACATTTCAATCTTGGCTGGATGGAGAGAGAGCAGAAATCTAGAGTGAATCACCACAAAAACTAGGCTCCACAATTGTCTCAATAGCCCATTTACATAGACTGGAAGACTGCTCCTTTCAGTGGCACACTAACCCTCTTTGCAGGAGAGGCTGCAGTCTTCAGAGATCCCAGCAGTGTTTCTTTCATCACCTCCAAATGTTTATGAACAAAGTGCCTGCACGCTTCCTTCTCCCCACCACACATCTCCTCAAGGATCCGATAGGCCTTCTTCTGGATATGATGATCTTTGCTCTGACATAGAAAGAGGAAAACAGCATAGATGGATCACTCAGGTACGAGCAGGAACAGAAAGAGGTCATTCAGTCCCTCAAGTTTTCACCACTTAATTACGTCATGGTTGATAGGTAACTTAATGTCATCTACCAGGCTTAGCTCCATACTTAAAAAATCTTACCAAATCAAGTTCTGGGTTTTAAGTCATTTCCCCAATTTCTTAAATACTGAATTTTCAACTGGTCTCAGCCTTAACAGCTATTTAAGGGAGTAAATTCCAGAATTCCAAATCCTTTCAAGTAAAGGGATACTTCCTGACATCAACCTTGAATGCTCCAGCTCTAAATTTAAGGTTATGCCAACAGAAAACAGAGTGGATGCTGAAAATCTGAACTATCTCAGCAAGTTTGTTGGCATCTGTAGAGAGAAAGAATTGAGTTGATGACCTTTCATCAGAACTAGTTTTGAAATGTTAACTATGTCTCTGTTAACTATGACGCCGTCAGACAAATAAAGCGACTAGTACACCTTAACGTGGTCCAATGCAGGTTAAGGTGAAAGGGGTTGGAGGATAGGCGGGTTAATGGTATGGTGCCAACTTGAACATGACCATGTAATTTTGAAATTACACATTCTATTCTATCTTTAATATTTATATTAATAATTTAATCAGGACTTACTTTCAAGCCATTCTGTCCTTATTCTTGCATTTCAATTTTAAATTTCCATGTTCATATTCACAGTGGGAATAGTCTGTGAAAACGTGTCACCTGTTTTTAAATACGTTTAAGGTAGAGATTGAGCTATTTCTGATTACCAGTGTGTACAGTGTTATGGGGATAGAGTGATTAAAAGGCACTGAAGTGCGCGATCAGCTACGATTGTATTGATCAGCGTCAATGAGCTGAACGACCCACTCCTACGCCTATACTCTCACTTTTTAAGGCATGTAGCTACAAAAACTGCTTCGAGTCACTGCTTGACTTTTCTGGCCTGTGCCCTACCACATCCACTACCCACTCTACTCTCCTCACCATAGCAAGTACCAGCAAGATTCTGCCGACTCAATGCTCCAAAGTAACTGTATTTCTGTAGGATTCCAGAAGACTGACCCCACCTACCAAATCCCAGAAACTCTTCTCTGGCATTAAGAAAACATCTCAGTCACACCAAAAAAATTCTCTACTGCTCTTAGACTAAGGGTCCTCTCCAGCACTGGAAAGACACCAGAGTTTCCAGTAATTCCATTTTATCAAAACATTCCTACTCTCTCAAACCTGTCAACTCACAGGCTGCACCAACACATTTTGGACATGACTACTCCTGTAGTCAATTATTTTAAATCAGGTAAATAACATGCTCATCATGGCTATGGTTCAGTCAAGTAGAGACCTATAACATCACTTTACCTGCAAGAATGGGAGGATGGTCTGGAAAACGTTATTCATGCTGAGCTCATCAACCATGGGTGCCATAGCCACAATCAGATCCATAAGTGACAACCTATTGGAAACCAGAACATTGAGTGTATAACTGTCTTATTGTAATCTTGGAAAGTAAACAGCTTCAGTCTCAACTCTGGAAATTTTAATCTTTTTAAGAAATATTGGGTCAATTCTAATTTAATGAAGCACACAATGATTTCATTTGATGACTATTTATCAACCAAAACACTGCAACCAGTACATTCAGAGTTACACCATCGACAAATGGGAATGTGTTGCAGTGGCAGTGACCTTGCCTCTAAGCAAGGAAGTCTGGGCTCAAGCCCTACTTGCACTGGAAATGTCTGAGCAGACTGATTCAAAATACTTTTTTCTTTGAAACCATTGGCTGCACTGAAGAGTATGAAGCCAGAAAACATGCCCTCATGCCTCTGGTCTGGGGCGAGGACATGGTCGACAGACCAGCCTTTTGGTGGTGCTCTCCTTACCGCGTGAACTCTGAACTCTCTGCATTCTTCAGCTTCTCAGTGGCTTTGTCCAGAAATCCACACACCAGCTGTCAAACAGTAGCAGGGCATTAGTCAACGTAGCAGTCTATTAATCTGTACTCAATATCTGGGCAGATACATCAACAAACCCAATCCCTTTCAGAAAATTAATCACAATCCCAGCTCAGAGTACAACTCGAAGATCGGAAAGTGCCAGTATGAGCAAATAAAAGTGTGAACTCAAGGCCCAGTCACATCCTGAAATTAGAAGACAGTTTACTCAGATTTCAGATTGGCCAAATCAGAGATGATTAATGATGTTTCCAAGTTGATATCAACAAACTCACCTGCTGGTCAGCTAGGGTCAAGTATACTTTGATAGTGTCCAACACAGGCAGCCTGTAGGCTGCACTCTCTCCACTTGCTGGTTCTGTGCTATAAACATTAAACAGAACTGGCAGGAAGTTCTTGGCAAATCGACTCACTTCAGCCCGATCAATCTCTGGAAGAATAAAAAACAAATGGTATGCGTTCACATCAACACAAATTCAAGCCTCCTCCTGCCCCACAGAAAGTGCAGCTGTACAGGTCTACCTCTCAACCAGAATCAGCCCTGCAGCCACCAAATGACCAGCAGAGAATCACTCTTTGCTGCACTGAGTGAGTTTCCTCCCTGAAGAAGGGTCAGACCCAGGGGGCAGCTCTCCCAACATCAGGGCCCAGGGAGGGGGGGCTGGGGCAGCTCTCCCGCCCGCACGGTCCCAGGGATCAGGGGGAGCAGCTCTCCCATCTGCTGGCAAAGTTGTTTTTATTCTTATATGGAATGTACGAGTTGCTAGCAAGGATGGCATTTGTTGCACATTCCTAGTTCCCCTTGATCTTGAGGAGACTTGCTAGGTAATTTCAGAGGTAGTTAAGAATCACACCATTGCTGCGGGTCTGAAGTCACACGTAGGCCGGGTAAAACCGGAAGATATCCTTCTTCAAAAGATTGGAGTGAACTGGATCAAGTGGTTGCATGGTTGCCAAAAAACTCAATTTTAATTCAAGACTTTTACTGATTTCAAGTGTCACCATCTACCATGGTAGGATTTGAAACCATGTCCTCCAAAGCATTAACTTGGGGTTCAAGATTACTAGTTCAGTGACATTAGTGCCATGCCACTACCATCTCATTGGTGCAGCTTTGCCAACTGATGGGACCAACAAAGGTACAGCGTTCTCAATTCATGAGTGAATTCAGCATGAGGCTCCACAGGTGCAGCATCTCTAGTCAAGGAATATAAGCCTTTCAATTCAAAGCCAGCAAAACTCAGGAACACCATTTGATAATTTGGGACCGGCCATGATTTACATTGGGATTGCGACTGGACTCAGAACAAACGAGGATTGGATAGGAAGCCAATTAAGACTGGATTGTTTGTGAGCTTCTTCAGTATTTCTCCAGGTAAAATCTCTGAAATCGAAGCCACAACTCACCATTTTCACAGCCTTTGCTGATGAGTGTGCGAAGTGCCTGACAGATGGTGAGTCGGAGATCTGGCCGGTCACTGATGGCTGTGCCCAGGGTCCTTGCAATAGCTTTAAAAGCCACAGCTGTGTCTGTGGGTTTTGTGCAGAATCCTGGCAGCATTGTCCAAATCTAAACAAGATACAAACATTGATGTAATCAGCAAATGTCTAAAGCCCGAGTACAGCGGATAACACCAAGGGAAAGCTTCAGTTCAACTATAGAGAATTGATTAATTCCAGAGGGGAGTTGAGAATAAGTCTTGACAATAAGGCAGCATTTGACTGTGCATGGCACCGAGGAGCTCTAGCAAAACTGAAATGAATGATACGCAGAGGAAATATTTCCACTGGTTGGATTCATATCATACCTAGCACAAAGGAAAATGTTGTAGTTGAAGGCCATCATCTCAGCTCCAGGACTTCACTGGAAGAGTTCCTTAGAGGTCCTAGGCCCAATAATCTTAGCTGCTTCATCAATGATATTCCCGCCATAAAAAGGAATAGGAGGTATGCTCATTGATGACTGCATGATAGCACCATTTCAGATTCCTCAGATACCTTAAACATTCTGGCTGCATTCAACAAGACCTGAACAACATTCAAACTTGTGCTGATAAATGGTAATACTTGCACCTACCTCTGTTTGCCACCATCAAGATTCATCAGAATTAATGATAATTTATGAAAAATGTAAATATTTCACTGGTTCTTCACGACCAAATGTAATAAATGTATTTGCATTCAAGTTTTTTATTAAATATAATTACTTCATACAGGAAAAAAAGAGAAAAATTTAGTTGAAACATTCTAACACGTGTCATAATATCATCGTTTTCTAAGAAGACAATGCTCAATAATTACACATGGCATGCACCTGGGAGCAGGTCTGATTGCGTGATGCACATGAATGTGAGGATGATGGTCAGGCTTGCTTACTTGTGTTAGCTGCAGACATGTTGGCCAGCCCACAGGCCATCTCAAAAACCCTCACGGAACATACTTGGAAAACCACTTACCTAGCAAGAGAAGGGCAGTAGGCACATGGAACACCGCCACCTGCAAGTGCCACTCCAAGCTATTCACCATTCCTTCATCAAAATCTCAGAATTCTCTCCCCAACAACACCAAGGCAGCAACCGAAGTACATAGATGACAGTGGTTTAAGGCTGCAGCTCACTACCATTTTCTCAAGGGCAATTAGGGATAAACAATAAATGCTGCCTTGTCATCCTGTGAATGCATTAATAACCCCGAACCCTACTCTCCACACAAAGACAGAGAGAACTTGCACCTCACCAGCCTAAACTAGACTGCTCTCTAGGTGAAAGGGCAGTATCTAGCACACTGTACCATGCTGATGTTGAATGAAGTTATGTACAAGACAGCCCAGGAACAAATCACACATCTTTTCCCTTCTAAATATTCACTGCTGTCACTAGTTTCACCTCTTGGCCCTTACCTGCCATTGCAATGTGTCATAAAGTTTAGCTTCAAGGGGTCGTCCAGACTGTGCGAGTTCAAGCGCTATAGAAAGAGAATGAATTTAGGACCAAAACACACAGACAGAATAATTAGACACACTGGGCTGACAGCAAAGCCAGAATTCCCCAGCATCCCACTGCTCCCTCCAATTAAGGGTGCACAGTCAGTGAGAGGGAGACCACCAAGAGTGTGTGTGTTTGCGTGTGTGTGTGTGAGAGAGGGATGGGGGGAATGGTGTGAAAATATCTGGGAATTTTGCTCAAAGTGAGAATTCAGTATATGGGGAAAGAGAAGAATGTCAGGTTCTTCTTGACGAAGGGTCACTGGATTCGAAATGTTCACTCTTGTTTTTCTACTGACAGATGCTGCCTGACATGCTGTGTTTCTCCAGCACTCTGACTTTGTTTCAGACTTCCAGTATCCACAGCTCCATGCGTTTACTAAAACGTGGATGATGGGGGATCAAGCTTGGGTGTGACTATAAAAAAAATCAAGAAGTAAAATGAAGGCAGAAGAGCAAAATTCCAATGTGAAATCAGATCTTGATCAGATAATGAGAAAATACAGAACAAATGAAAAATTGGTGTTTCTCAACCTGGCAATCTATGACAAGTGGTATCCCGTAAGAGCTGAGCTGGGGCCTTGTTTTATATGAAGGGGCTGAAGGTATAGCGTCTTAATGTGCAGATGATATAAAGATAAATGAGACTGCATGTTGTGCAAATGACATAACAAGGATGCAGAGGTTGAGTGGGCGCAAATTATGAAGATGGTGCATTATGTGGGAAACGTTAAGTTGTTTCACTCTGGCAAAAGGAATAAAAAAAAGCAGATTATTACTTAAACAGAGAACATATGCAGAATTCTGATCTGCAACAGGATCTAGGAATTCTGGTATATACATCAAAAAAACTTTAGTTTGCAGATACAGCAAGCGATTGAGGCAGATCATGGAATGCTATCCTTTACATGAGGAATTGATCATAAAAGCAAGGATGTCGTGCTTCAGGTATACAAGGAGGATATAAATATAAATGTGTTGGACGCAGTTCAAAGGAAATTTAACAGATTAACACCTGAAATGCACGGGATACCTATGAGGACAGGTTGGAAAAGCTCGGCTTTTCTCCACTGGAGTTTAGAAGAGTGAGGTGTGACTTGACTTGAGTATAAAAGATCCTGAATGGTCCCGACAATGTGGATGTGTAAAGATTATTTCCTTTTATAGGAACAGCACTTGAGGGTGCTATTTTGAATCTAGAGGTGTCCCTTTTAGGACAGATCTGAGGGCAACTCTTTTCTCCAAGACCCTGCAGGAACGTGGAACACACTGCGTTAGAAGGCAGTGGAGGGAGCAACACTGAATATTATTAAGACAGAGGTAGATGCTTGTAAGGAAAGTTAATCACAGCTTATTAGGGAGTGGATGGGAATTTTGAACAAACTGATCTGCATTGATCTTATCGAATGTGGGAGTAGGTTTGACGGGCTGAGTAGTTTACTACTATGCCTAATCCCTTTGTTTGTATGTTCCACCCACTCCGGCTCCCTAAAAGCCCTTTCACAGTTATCTCCTAGCTGAGCATCTCTCCCTTGCCCTCCCACTCAGTACCTCTGTTCTTCAGACTTGCAGCCAAGGGCAGAAAGTATTGGTTGAAGAAGGTGAGCCGTGTATGTTTTACATGGTCTCGGATCACAGGAATGAGCCAGCTCCGAGGAAAGTCGAACTTCTCCCTAACAGAAAAGGCATGTCACAGAGTAAGTGCAACACAATTCGAGGTGTTTGATCAGAGTAAATAAAGGGAGACCATTTCCAGTAGCAATTTGGAAATAGCAGGCATAGAAATTGTACCCAGGAATCATGCACCATTCAAGTACGTCACATTTCGAAATAATTCTCATTTATGCACAGAATTACTGTTTGCTGTACTTGTAAAGTTCAATGCACTAAAATGTGATGCCAAAAACAGTGTGGGTATCAGAACTCTAGCTCTAGCCGAATCAGTGTTTTATAAAGGTACAAGTCAAAAGTCACATTGACACTAGGTTATAGTCCAACAGGTTTATTTAAAATCACAAGCTTTCAGAGAGCTGCTGCTTTGTCAGATGACCTTCTAATAGTGATACCTGAGGCCAAGTGCAACTATGGAACAGACGATGTTAGTTTATGTTTATGCTAGTTGAGTATAATTGGATGAGAACCTGACTACATGCATATGTATGGAGAACAAGTAATCAGTGGGTGGGAGTTGGTTGAGAGAGAATAAAACTCTAACCAAAAAAAAACACATGCTTGAATCTGGTCTAACCAACATTTTAGACTGTAGTATTTAGCACTCTTAATTTGTACGTTCGTTTAAGCCTGTAATTCCAAGAAGCAGTCAGGTGAACCTTATCTGAACCTCTTCTAAAGCAATTATTGTTTCAAGTATAAAAACTGAAACTGTACACTGTACTCCATATATAGATGAAACAATACCTATAGAGTTGTAGTAAAACATTTTCATAAGTCGTTGGAAGTGATTCTGAAAGATAGGATATATATGCAGTTGGAAAAGAAGGAATGATTTGGGATAGTCAGCATGGCTTTGGCTTTGTGCAAGAAAAATCGTGTCTAACAAACTTGATTGAGTTTCTTGAGGAAGTAACCAAGATTGCTGTGGGGAGAGCAGTAGACATTGTTTACTTCAACTTTACTAAAGCCTTTCACGAGATTCCACATGGTAGACTTGAGTAAAGTTAGGGATTCAGGGTGACCTTGCCAATTGGATACAGATTTGGTTTAATGGCAGAAGACTGAGAGTAATGGTGAAGGGGTGTTTTTCGGACTGGAGGCCTGTGATCAGCAGTGTTCCACAGGGATCTGTACTGGGTCCACTTTAGCTTGTCACTTATATAAATGACTCATATCAGAAATAGAAGTCATGGTTACTAAGTTTGCAGATGACACTAAAATTGTTGGTATTGTGGATAGTGAAGAAAGTCACCTAAGATTACTAAGAGATCTTGATCAATTGGGTCCATGGGCTGAAGATTGGCAGATGGAGTTTAATTTGGATAAACACAAGGCATTACATTGTGGTAAAACAAACATGGACAAGACATTTTTTCTGATGAAGGGTTTAGGCCCAAAACGTCAGCCTTCCTGCTCCTATGATGCTGCTTGGCCTGCTGTGTTCATCCAGCTCTGCACCTTGTCGTCATGGACAAGACTTACACAGTTAAAACTGGGGTCTTGGATAGCGTTTAGGTACATAATTCTTTGAAGTTTGTGTCACATAGTGATGGAGTGGTTAAGAAGGCCTTTAGTACACTTGCATTCATTGCTCGGACCTTTGAGTATAGGACTGGAACGTTATTTTGAAGTTGTATAAGTTGTTGGTGAGGCTGCTTCTGGACACTGTGTCCACTTCTGGCTGCCCTGTTATAGGAAGTATATTTTAAGCTGGAGAGGATGTTGTGGGAACAGAAGGTCTGAGTTATAGGGAGAGGCTGGATAAGCTGGGACATTTTTCATTGGAGCATAGGAGGTTGAGGGATGACCTTATAGAACTTTATAAAATCATGAGGGGGAAAGATAGAGTGAATGGCAGGTGTCTTTTCCCTAGGGTGGGGAAGCTCAAGACTAGGGGCCATATTTTTAAGGTGAGAGGAGAAAATGAACTTCCAGAGGAAACGGTGGATATGGGTACAGTTACAACATTTAAAAGACATTTAGATAAGTACACGAATAACAAATGTTTGGAGGGATATGGGGCTAGTCTGGTTTGGGATTATGGTCAACATGGCCTGGTTGGACCGAAGGGTCTGTTTCCGTGCTGTATGACACTATGACCCCATACAACAAATGCCAATATTCTATTTGCCTCCAAATCACTTGCTGATGTTTGCCTATTAACTTTATGTTATTCATGTACCAAGACACCTGGATCCCTTTGTAACACTGAGTGCTGCAAGCTCTGTCCATTTAAGTAGCATACTGCTTTAATGTCTCTTAGCCAATCTTTTTTTCCATATTGCCAATGCTTCTTTAATCCCCCAGGCATCAATTCACTTCCCATGAGTACATCACTCACTCAGTGCCATCAATCTGTAGGGGGACTGCCTGTAGAACAGATTCTGGCCCCATGTATTCAACTGCCATTCCCACAGCCCGATCCAGCTCCCCAGTGTAGGCGAAATGCGGAGTCTCTCGCAGATCACACAGAGTCTGTAGACACTGAAAACAGAGACAGGATCAGGATGGTGGAGATAAGAAAACAGATTATCTGGTCATTATCACATGCCTGGCAACTTGATGTGTAAATATTGATCTTTTTGCTTCCTCTAATACAAATGACTACAGTTGAAAAATAACTTGATTGTGTTTAAAGTGCTTGGGAGTCCAGAGGTGACAAAGCCACACTGCAGAAATGCAAATCAAGCTTTTCTTAGACATAATGAAATGACATCACTAAATCCACCCACTAATTGCCACTCCATCTTTTCACCGCCTACGGCTGTCCCTCTCTTTCCACTCACTCCTGACCCCATTCTCCACCTCTATCTCCACCCTCACCTTAGATCATAAGTAGTAACAGGAGTTGACAATTTAGTCCCTCAAGCTTGTTCTAACGTTTAATATGATTCTGGGTGTAATTCTACTTAACAGCTTGTAGATCAAAAATCTGTCTAGCTCAGCCTTGGATATATTCAATGAAGCAGTCTTCACTGGGGAAGAGACTTACAACAACTAACAACCCTCAGGGAATAATTTCCTTCTCATCTCCATCTTAATTTAGAGACCCCATATTTTTAAACTGTCTCTCTCCTTTGGGGAAACAATCTTTTCGCTCTCTTAAATATTTCAATACGATTACTTCCACTTCTTCTAAACTCCAAAGAGTAAAGGCCCAACTTGCTCAATGTTTCTTCATAAAATAACCTGCAGAATCAGCATCTTGAACCTTCTATGACCTGCTTCCAACATATATTAAAACTGCAAACCAATACCTGGGTGTGGTCTCACTAATTCCCCTGTACAGTTGTAGCAATTCCTAACTTTTATTCTCCAATCCCTTTGCAATGAAAGGCCAGCACTTCACTTAAGAGTCATAGAGATATATACCACTGAAACAAACCTTTTGGTCCAACTTGTCCATGCCGACCAGATATCCTAAAAATATCTCGTCCCAATTGCCAGCATTTGGCCCATATCCCTCTAAACCCTTCCTATTTATATACCCATCCAGATGCCTTTTAAATGTTGTAATTGTACCAGCCTCCACCACTTCCTCTCGCAGCTTATTCCATACACACACCACAGTCCACATGAAAAAGTTGCCCCTTTAGTCCTTTTTGAATCTTTCCCCTCTCACCTTAAACCTATGCCCTCTAGCTTTCGAAACCCCCATCCCCGGGAAAAGACCTTGTCTATTTACATTACCCATGCCCCTCATGATTTTATAAACCTCTACAAAGTCACCCCTTAGCATCCAACACTCCGGAGAAAATAGCCCCAGCCTATTCAGCCTCTCCCTATAGCTCAAACTCTCTAACACTGGCAACATCCTTGTAAATCTTTTCTGAACCCCTTCAAGTTTCACAATATCCTTCCTATAGCAGGGAGGCCAGAATTGCATGCTATGTTCCAATGGTGGCCTAACCAATGTCCTGTACAGCCCAACTCCCATACTCAATGCACCAACCTATAAAGGCAAGCATACCAAATGTCTTCTTCACTATCCTGTCTACCTGGGACTCTACTTTCAAGAAACTATGAACCTGCACTCCAAGGTCTCTTGTTCAGCAACACTCCCAGGACCTGACCATTAACTGTATAAGTCCTGCCTGATTTGCCTTCCCAAAATGCAACATCTCACATTTATCTAAATTAAACTCCATCTGCCATTCCTCAGCCCATTGGCCCATCTGATCAAGATCCCATTGTACTCTGAGGTAACCTTCTTCACTGTCCACTACATCTCCAATTTTGGTGTCATCTGCAAGCTTACTAACCATACCTCTTATGTTCACATGCAAATCATTTATATACATGACGAAAAGCAGTGGATCCAGCACTGATCCTTGCGGCACGCTGCTGGTCACAAGCCTCCAGTCTGAAAAGCAATCCTCCACCATCACACCGTCTTCTACCTTCGAGCCAATTCTGTATTCAAATAGCTAGTTCTCCCTCTATTCCATGTGATCTAACCTTGCTAACCAGTCTACAATGAGGAACCTTGTTAAACACCTTACTGAAGTCCATATAAGATTACTTCCACAGCTCTGCCTTCATCAATCCTCTTCGTTACTGCTTCAAAAAACCCAATCAAGTTAGTGAGACATGATATCCCACGCACAAAGCCAGTCCATGCCCTTTCCAAATACATGTAAATCCTGTCCTTTAGAATTTCCTCCAACCACTTGCCCACCATCAATGTCAGGCACACTAGTCTAAAGTTCCCTGGTCTTTCCTTACCACTTTTCATAAATAATGGCACCATGTTAGCCAACCTCCAGTCAACCGGCACCTCACTTGTGGCTATTGATGATACAAATATCAGCAATGGACCCAGCAATCTCTTTCCTTGCTTCCCACAGAGTTCAAGAGTACATCTGATCAGATACCACAGATTTATCCACCTTTATGCATTTAAAACATCCAGCACCACCTCCTCTGTAATATGGACATTTTTCAACATGTTGTTACTTATTGCCCACATTCTCTATCTTTTATATCCTTCTCCACAGTAAACACTGATGCAAGATATTCATTTAGTATCTCCCCCTTCTCCTGCAGTTCCACAAACAGGTGGCCTTGCTGAACTTGAAGGAGGCCTATTCTCTCCCTCGTAACACTTTTGTCCTTAATGTATTTGTAGAATCCTTCTGGATTCTCCTTAACCCTATTTGCCAAAGCTATCTCATGTCCCCTTTTTGCCCTCCTGATTTCCCTCTTAAATATATTCCTTTATACCCTTCTAGAGAATCACTCAATTTCTGCTATTGATCCCTGACAGCTACTTCCTTCTTATTCCTGACCAAAACCTCAATTTCTCTGGTCATCCAGCATTCCCTACACCTACCAGCTATGCCTTTTAACCCAACAGGAATATACTGTCTTTCGACTCTCATTATCTCATTTTTGAAGGTTTCTCATTTTCCAGCCACCCCTTTATCGCAAGCTACTTTCAACCTAGACTACCACGTGGTCCTAACAATGTAGTGTCTGTTAGATTGACATAGCCAAATGTAAAATGGTTGAATACTTTGCAGAACACCTCCGCTTGTCCGTAGCAACGACCCTGACCTCCCAGTTGCTTATGATTTCAATAAATCTACATGCTCTCTTGATCATATTTCTGTCTTGGGTCTGCTGCAATATTCCAATGAAGCACAATGCAAGCATGAGGAACACCACCTCATTTTTCACTCAAGCACTGTAACCTCAAGGTCTCAACATTAAATTCCATAACTTCAGACCATATTACGTTTATTCTCCATTTTTTTCTGTCCCTACCTCTCCCCACTTCCCCCAAAGCCTCATCACGCATTTTGATTTGCTTTCAGTAGTCTTCTCTCCACCACACCTTAATTTACACCTTTACTACATCTCTTTCTCCCTTTCTCCACCATTAACAACCATTTTGTCTTCTGCCTCTGTCAAAAGTATATTTTTAAAAAAACCAGACTGCTTCCTAACACTGGAAACTGTGAGCAACTATGCACGTGCACTCATCTGGGAACGTGCCTGCATATGCACAGGGAAGCAGGCACAATTTTGATCTGGAGTTCAGAGGCGGGAAGAGGAGATGTGGGATGGGGGAGTAGTGGGGAGCCCCCAAATTGAGAAGGGATGAGTGCCCAGAAGCTGGGGAACTTAGAAGCGATAATGAGAGTCCAGAACCCATGAGGATGATAGAGTGGGGGAAATGAGGAGGGCCCATGAGCTGGGAGGCTCTCAACCCTCTGTATCCCTTCTGCACTCCCCCAGCTCCACTCACCCACCTCCAGTTGTCTTCCAGATCCTGATCTCCCCACCTTGTTATCCTGTCCCAGTCTCTCTCTCTTTCTTCCCATCCTCCCCACTTCCCATCTGCCTTCCCAGTCTCATTTCCTTCCTGATCTCTATCGTTCGCCCTGTGTCCACCACTCCCAGCTACGTAGCCCCCGAGATCTCTGTATGTTCAATTTAAAGCAGTTCAAAGCACGCATGCATCAGTACCAGCAAAAGCAGCCATTAAAAAGAACCCGCTTTGCAACACCTTTCAATTCTGAAAAAAGAGCCAGGCTGGACTCAAAACATTAATTTGTTTTTTTGCTGTCCACAAATACTGCCATACCTGCTGAGTTTCTCCAGCATTTTCTGTTTTTGTGCCAACATTCCCTCCTAAATAATTTCTGCACATGCACGTTAACATTTCATATACAAGGACACCCGGATCCCTCTGTACTGCAGGGTTTTGCAATCTCTCTCCATGTAAATAATATTCTGTTTTTCTATTCTTCCTGTGAGAGTGGATTTTTCACATTTTCCCACATTATATTCTGCATGCAAATTCTTTTGTCCACTCATTCAACTTATCTCTATCACTCTGCAGATGTTGTATTCTCTTCACAATTGCCTGCCTACCTATTTCTGAATGATCAGCAAATTTGGCTACAATACCATCAGTCCCTTCATCCAGGTCATTGATCCAGATCAAAAAGAATAAAGGGTCCAGCACTGATTCTGGTGGTGCTCCATCAGTTACAATGCACCCTCCTGAAAATTATCTAACAGCAAACAGAGATGGGATAAATACTTATCCAAACCTCTTATTCATGCTATCATAGCAACCCAAAAGTGTGAGATCTTAACTTATGATGCAATCTTTTAAGTACTATTGTACGTTGTAGATTTTGTTTTGCTGTTCATAAAGCAGTTAAGTGTCAACCATATTGCTGAGAGTCTACAGTCAGATAGGCCAGACCGGATAAAGATGGTAGACATCCTTTCCTCAGGACATTAGTGACCAACTGGATTGTTACAACATGGTTACAAGTGGACACATGGTCAACCATTAAGCTAGCTTTTTTCCCCCAAATTTTTATTGAATTCACATTTCACCATCTGTCATGGTGAGATTTGAACACGTCCCCAGAACATTAGTTTGGAATTCAGGATGATTTGTCCAGTGACTTTATCACTATGACATTGTCACCGGCTAAATGTCTTTTGGAAGTCCAAATATGCTACATCAATTGATTGCTATTTATCTAATCTACTTAGTACGTCCTTAATGAAGTTGAATAAATTTGTCAAACATAATGTCCTTTTCATAAAACCACGTAGCCTCACCTGATTGTCTTAAAATGAATATTTAAAGTTTGAGAAGATTTATACCTCAGGCTGTGGATGAGGTTGTAGACTTGCTTGCCAAGCTGGTGGGTTTGGCTGCAAACATTTTGTCACCCTGCTTGGTAACATCATCAGTGCACCTCTGGTGAAGTGTTTCCCAATTTATTTGTGGCTCAGGTCACACTCCAGAGATTACCTCATAATTGCAACTCCTCTTAAAAATATGTAAGTCACTTGTTTCAGACCCCTTCGTTTTGGTTTGTATTCCATTAGCAGAACCTGTTTCCTAGTTCCCATCTATGTTGCTGGCACCCTCTTGGGTTCTGACAAGTATATCCTTTCCCTCCGACTGCAATGCTATGGAGAAGTCCGTAATCCTGGTACCAGACAAGCAACACAGCACTTGGGACTCAAGCTCCCAGCTGCAGAAAATAGTGTCTATGCATCCAACCATACCATTCCCTCCTGGAAATACATTTCTTTTCCCACTCTTCATTCCAGCAGCTCCCAGCAGCAGTTTGCTGTGGTAAATCTGCCCATCCTCCCTGCAGTCCTTGTGCTCACTCACACAAGTTGTCAGAACATCAAACCTTCTAAGCAACTGGAAGGGCTAAGGTTCCTCCATTTTAAATCCTGTCTCTCCTGTAGTCACACTATCCTATTCTGGGCTAAGCCTGAAGTGCTTAACCTAAGGGAGTGACTGCCTTCTGGGACAAAGTGTCCGTGCAACTTTCCTCCTCCCTGATGCTTCAGTGTTTGAAGCTGAAACTCCAGCTCAAAAACTCACTTTTGCACATTAAAGTGTGCCCTGCTCCTCTACTGGCTGCAATAACTTCATCATACTTGCAGCCTTAAGAAACATTCATCCCATGTAGGGTCCCTAAATGTGACCCTGGGATTAGGTGTGAAATTATTATCCACCTGAATTAACTAGCTGCATAAATAACAGATTCCACCAAGGCTGTCCATCATCTCACATTGCCTCTCCCTGTCCTTAACCCTCCTTCACCCATGTTTTCTCTTGCTCACCAGCCATCTCTATCCCCTCCTTTTTCTCCCCCTCATTTCCTCTCTAGGCCTTCGTCATTCTCTTTCTCAAACTGCCTCTGGTACTCCTTCCTTTCTTTCTCTCTCCAGCCCTCACCTGCTTCATCGCTGGATAGGCCTGCTTGCCGATGACCTCAAAGAATGTGCTGAGGACCTGTAGAACGAAAGCCCATGAAGCATGGAATCGATAAGTCAGCCCATCCTCCACTGCCCTGCAACACAAACAACAACCAATAAGCACTGTGTAACAGGACTGCAGCCAATCACAACACCCTAAGCCATGCAGGCATTCACAGCACCATAAACCATGTATCTAATCACTGAACTCTAAACGATACAACCAATTACCATGCCACAAGCCATGCAGCCAATCACAATGAACTAGAACAGATTATTTTCCAATCAGTCAGTTTCTTTGACTGTGATAAGAGATTCAAGAATAATAAAGTCGTTGACCCCATTATCCCTCCACCCCCACAAACAGACCCCACTACCAGCCCCTCTTGCAATGACTTGATTGATCCCCCTTGCCCCTCAACTGCTCTCCACCACCCAAACACAACCCTACTCCCCAAACACAGAAACAGCAGTGAACAAGTAGTCACAGTGAGCTAACAGACAGGTTGAAAGTCTCACCTAAACATCTTACAAATGTAAGAGGCAGGTCCAGATGGGGAAGATGAAGCAAATACACCAATGTCATCAGCGAATGGAGCCACACACTCTCTAAGCAGGACCTGCAGAGACAAAGAGGAGCAAGCAGAAAGCTCAATTACAATTCAACAAAATCAAGGCTAGGACTATACTTGTCCTTGAAACATCTGATGGGACAGTGTAGAGGTAAATTTTACTCTATCTAAACCCATGCTGCATCTGTCCCAGAAGTGTTTGATTGGAGTAGTATCGAGGGTACTTCACTCTGTATCTAACTCTGTGCTGTACCAGTCCTGGAAGTGTTTAAGGGAACTGTATTTAAAGGTGTATAAAACATCCTTGTCTGCGAGGAACCACCAAAGATAATTAAACACATATTTAGCCTCAACTGGAGTGTTGCGTCCAGTTCTGGACATCACACTTTAGAGAGGCTGCAGGCAAGGTTCCAGATTTGGAAAAATTCTGTTGTGTGTAGATTGGAGACTGTTTTCCTTTGAAAAGGTTCAGAAGACATTTGTTGATTTTGAAAACCTATGATAAGTCTGGACAGAGTAGAAAGGGAGAAACTGTTTCTATTGTTTGAAGGATAAACTGCCAGAGGACAGTGTTTTAAGCTAACTGGCAAAAGAAGGAATGGTATTAAGAAGACAAATCTCTCATGCTGCAGGTGGTTAAGGTTTAGAATACTTTGCTTCCACCACATTCTTAGGCAATCAAAAAATTCAAGAGGGAAGTGAATCATTATCTGAGAAGATCTGCAGGTCAATGAAGCAAAGGCAGGGAGTGGCACCCATGGAACAACTTCTTCAGAGGGTCAACACGTTTACAATCACTGCCATCCTTGTAGAACTGTTCTATGATTCCAAGGGAATTCCCAACAGCTGCGGTTTCAAGTTATTGTAAGCAGTTGATCATTCACATCATCCATACCGAATAAGCAAATTTTGATCCACAGATTAACTCCTCTGTCCTCAAATTCAATCACAGATTCAGGCTACAACATGCTGTGTGCGTCATCCAGACTCAACCATACATTCTTTTTGCTCATCGTATAATGCACAAATTGAACTCTGCATCAGGCACCAACCTGTGACAATTTCAATATTCACATTCATAGGGTAGCACAGTGGCTCAGTGGTTAGCATTGCTGCCTTACAGCACCAGGGGCCAGGGTTCAATTCCACCCTGGGGCAACTATCCGTGTGGAGTTTGCACATGCTCCCCATGCCTCCACGGGTTTCCTCCGGGTGCTCCGGCTTCCACACTCAGTCCAAAGATGTGCAGGGTAGGTGGATTAGCCATGCTAAATTGCCCACAGTGTCCAGGGATGTGTAGGCGAGGTGGATTAGCCATAGGAAATGCAGGGTTATGGGAACGGGTCTGGGTGGGATGGTCTTCCAAGGGTCAGTGTGGACTCGATGCACTGAATGGCCTGTTTCCACTCTGTGGGGATTTAATAATTCTATGATTTCAGCGAATGGAGTAAAAACAAGACTACAGGAAAGGTGACGAGCAATAGTTTTAACCCACCTTCATTGTTTCGGCTGCAGCAGCCATGAGCTGTGTGTGTGATGAAAGGAAACAACTAACAGCCATGGAGAAAAGACGAGGGAGATGAGCCAAACACAACGAACCCTGCAACCTAACAATAGGAAGTCAGAGAAGAGACTAAAGAGTCAAGAAACAGAAGTCATGAATGAAAAAAACCCAACCAGTCCACAACAAACCCTGGCCCCAACAGGGCCCACGAGAAACCCTGGCCCCCACGGGGCCCACAATAACTGTGGAAGCGCCACTCATTCACTGAAAGAAATTCATTACCTGCACAGGCTGATGTGTGCTTTTTCCATCACGGTAAGCCAAGCCAGGATAGGCTGTAGGTCACTGATGTTTGGCAAATAATCATACAAAGCCTGTAGATGAAATACTGCACTCAGAATAATTTTAAAAAAACCACACTGACCCACTGGTTAACATCCCAACCTCAAGTTACTCATAAGCCATACATCCTCTTCCGAGACCCACACCACCCACACACACTGCCCAACCCACCCAGGTCACCCTCATACACAACTCCTCCACTCACACAAGGTCACTCGACCAGAGTCACACGTACTCCTCTTGCCCCCTTCCAGGATTACCCGTGCATCCATCCCACTGCTGAGGTCTAAACTCACAGTTATGATCTGAGCGTTGAGTTCGCCTGTCAGGACTGCCGAGTTTGGTTTGGCAACAAAGAGTCCGTGAAATGCTTGCATCGCACAAGCCGTCACCATCTGTAAGAGAGATAGGATGATGCAGGAATTCACACTGCGAAGGTTTCAGAGTGTGAGGCAATAACAATCTCCAATACAGGGACATGAAGTCTCTGGAAGGGGTGGCTAGAATCACTAAGAGAAGCACAAAACAAAGAGTTGGGGTGCAAAATCCCTAGGATACAATAGGTCCCTGAGATTTTGTAACCCATTCATCTGCAATTTATCAGCGTGTGGTGATGTTTATGAAGGTAACAGGGACTTGGATTGGAAAAGTGAGAGAGATCTCTCTCCCAATGATTTCACAAAGCTTTTTAGGGCAAGTCCCTGCCCTGTGGGGAAATGACAGGCCTGTTAGCCTGACATCAATAGTAGTGAAAATGTTACAATCTATTAGAATGAACACGATTACTGGATACTTGAAAATAATTTTCTGAATGGACAGAATCAACACTAATTAATAAAGGAAAAGTCAAGGTTGACAAATTAAATGGAGATTTTTTTTGAGGATGCTATGAGCAAGATCAATAAGAAACCAGCTGATAGGGTGTATTCAGATTTTCAGAAGGTTTTTGAAAACTTTCCATGTAGGAGGTTAGTAAACAAAATTAAGTCACATGGGATTGAGGGTGATGTGCTGGCATGTCATGGGGATTGGTTAACAGGCATAAAACAGATCAGGCTGTGATTAGTGTGGTATTGCAAGGATCAATGGCTTTGGCCCTGGCTGTTCACAATCCATATCAATGATTTAAATACAGAAGCTACTGGGCCCTTGTGGTGCACACTTGCATCCCAACTCCAGAGGTATGCAAAAATACTAACAAATTGAGTAGAAAACATCTAGATATAGGGGCCAATTGTACAGAATATCAGTGGGACCACAACTGGAGTACTGTGCAGAGGTTTGATCCCTTGCATGAAGGATATACCTGCAATACAGGGATTGCAGTGGAGGTTCACCAGGTTGATTTGGTATAGGGAGAGTTTGAGAAGATCAGGCCTGTATTCTCTGGAATTTCGAAGAAAGAATCAATCTCATAGAAATTTGTACAATTCATTAAGAGATCGACAGAGTAGATGCAGAAGGGGTGTTTCACTTGGCTGTAGAGCGTAGAACCAGTGTACACGTTCACAGAACTAAAAAGCAAGCCCTTTAGGACTGAGATGATTAGGAATTCTTTCCCTCAGAGGGTGGTGAATCTTTGGAATTTTCTACCCCAGAGGACTGTGGGGGCTCAGTCATTAAGTAAGTTCAAGGTGGAAATTGATAAGTTAGTATTTGATAAATACTTCAAGCGATATTGAGATACTGCAGAAAGGTGGCATTGAAGTACATAATCAGCAGTGATTTAGAATGGTGAGTAAGACTTGAGGGGCCAAATTACTCCTATGTTTCTAAGATGGGAGAAGTATAAGAGAGAATGATGAGCAATGAGGGCTTACATTTATGAGGATAGATTGGAGGAGCTGGAGTTGACCTCCTCTGAGCAGAGGAGCTAAAAAGGAAATTTACACAAGTTCTCAAAATTATGAAAGATGTCGTTAGAGTAAATAAAGACAATTTATCTCCAAAATCTTAAGGATGGATGACCAGTAGTTACAGATTGAAGATGACTGGCAAAAGAATCAAATGTCCTGCAAGTATTGGACTATCAAAGAGTATGGTGGACACAGGTTCAATAACTGCTTTCATAGGTAAATTGAATCAATATTTGAAACAACAATTGCTGGGACGTGGAGAAAGAATAGGGGAATGGGACCGACTGGATCATTCTTTGGAAGAGCCGGTGTAGATTCAATGGGCAGAGCAGTTTTGTTGTGTTTTGCACTGTTCTATCATTTTAGTTATCTCCTGTCCAGTAAAGAAAATATAACTTTTGGGTTTACGAATCTTAACTGTGAACCTTACCACGTGACTGAGAGTCATGACCCTGAGCAGAGTCTCACAGCACGATTTTACACAACTGACAGGGAAACAAGGGAGCACATCCTTCAGCAAACCCAACACGTGCAGTGTTGTTGTACCCTGACCACCACCTATAAGAAACAAACACAGCTATTAACAAAATGAGCATATTATTGAGCAGTCCACAATCCAACTAGCTTCTTCCTGACTTCCTAACTCCACCCAACAAGGATACAGCCTCCCTACTCCCAGTTTAGGCACCTCAGCAGAGAACTCCAACCCACACTCCAGAGACCTTCCATTATGTCGTCACCACAAACCTCCAGACTCCTCAATCTCCTTTATGCAGAATCTGGCTGTTGACTGCGCGGCCGGGTGATGGGGTGGAGCCAAGTCTCCAAACATGAAGTCACTTCCCTTGAGTACAGAGCAGATGCTGCGTTGCGCCTCTTTCCGGACCTGGAGGGGGTGGGGAGGCGAACAGCAGAGGAGGCAAACAATCAGCAACAAATACAGAGTAGCATTTCAAATTTGTGGCAAGCAGTGATACCAATAGCCTCTAACAGAACACTGACAGATGAGCAGAATGGGCATAGGACTGGCAGATCAAATTTCATTTCAAAGATTATGTGGTGATGTATTTTGGCACGAGGGATAGGGAACAGTAAAGATGCAATGGCACAACTCAAAAGTGCGTGTCGGGACAGGCAGACCTGGGGTTGCATGTGCATCCACTGTTACAGATCGCAGGACATATTAAGAGAATAGTTAGCAAAGATATGGGATCTCAGGATTCATTGATGGATTGAGTACAAAAACAGGAGGTTATCCTGAACCTTACACAGCTCGGATTAGGCCCTGGCTGGAGTCGTGCGCACCCAGTTCTGGCCATCCTGCTTTAGGAAGGATGTGAGTACCCTCAAGAAGGTGCAGAGGAGATTGACCAGAATAGTTCAGGAATGAGGGATCCAAGATTAGCTTGGAAGAGCTGCAGTTTTGCTCTTTTAAGCAAAGAAAATTGAGGGAAGATTTGATCGAGGTGTACAAGATTACAACTGTTTTGGAGAAACTACTTGCATTAGCTGAAGGTACACAGATTAGGGGACACAGATTGAAGGTTCTGGACTGCAAGTATGTAAGGACGATCTTTTTTACATAGTGAATGACCTGGAGCTCTCTGCCCACAAGGCAGCTGAAAGCAAAAACCAGTTAGATGAAAAGGTAATTGGATAGGCACAAATCACAGCCTCTAGCGGTTTTATAATTTGCTGGTTTTTGCCTCTAACCTTTCTTGAAGAGCCAAATGATATCAGTAATTTTCCAATCTAAGGGAATAGTTCCCAAATGGGGAGATACAATGCCTGGGACCAATGAGTTAGTATGCTTGGAGAGGGGCATGAGGCAGTGTAATTTCTCAAGGTGTGGAGACATTCACTGTGCAAGAGGCCATTCAGCCCATCAAATCCACGTCAGCTCTCCGCACAGCAGTCCAGTCACTCTCTCTGCCCTGCTCAACTCTGTTGCCCTTTCGATCTCTTACTGCTTATGCTATTTGGTTCGCAAGTAGTCCTATGTTTTGGCTTCACCAAGCCAACACCTAATTTTATTTTTGTATGGTGCTGCTCCTGGCATGCCCTCCTGCGCTCTCCATTAGAACAGGGTTGATAACCTGGCTTGATGATACTGGAAGAATGCGGAATATGCCAGACCTCAAAGTTGCAGATTGAGCTGGAGTACAATTCTGATGCTGATGGCCCAGAGAGTCTCACGGATGCCCAATCAAATTGCTAGGTGTTTGAAGTCCATCCCATTTAGCACAGTGATAGTGCCACAAAAGATGGAAGGTATCCACAATGTAAAGCCATGACTTTGTCTCCATAACGTCTGTGCATTGGTCACTCTTACCAATACCATCAGGGACAGATACATCAGTGGCAGGCAGATCGGTGAGGATTAGGTCAGGTAGATTTTATCCCCTTGTTGGTTCCTACATCACCTGCCACAGACTTAGTTCAACAGTTATGTCCTTTAGGACTTAACTTGTTTGTTTAGAACTGGTGTTGGTGAGCCAATCTTGGTGACGGACAATGTAGTTCCTCATCCATAGTACTTTTGCGCTCTTGCCAACCTCCATGCTTACTCCAAGTAGTTTCAACATGAAGCAGTACAAATCCATCAGCTGAGGGGGTTTGTGTGTTGTAATCAGCAGAAGGTTTCCTTTAACATTTGACCTGATAGCATTAGACTTTATGGGGTCTGGAACCAATGTTGAGAACTCCCACGGTAACTCCTTCCTGACTGCATACCACTGTGCCACCTCTTCTGGTGGGTCGGTCCTGCTGTTGAAACAGGACTCACGCAGGGATAATGACATTAGCATGACTATGTTAGACTGTTGCTTGGCTAGTTTGTGAGAAAACTCTTGTAGATTCAGCACTATCTCCCAAATGATGGGCATGGAGCACTTTGCAGGGCTGACAGGGCTAAATTTGCCACTGTCATATCCTATACTTAGGGTCAACATCAAATGGTCCATCCAGTTTCATTCCTTTGTCATTCTAGCAGCTAGATACACTGTGCAGTTTGATAGACCATTTCAAAGGACAGGTTAAAGTCAAACACACAGCTGTTAGTCTGCAGTCATACATAGGCCACATGCAAAGATGGAAGATTTCTTTCCCTAAATGACATTAGTGAACCTGATGGATTTTTATGACAGTAGACAATGATTTCATGGTCATCAATAGACATTTCACTCTAGTTTATTTAGGACTTGAAATTAGTGGACCAAGTACATGCATCATTAAAATGGCATGAACAGGTACAGAAAGTGACCAAAATGGGTAATGGAATTGTGGCTGTTGCATACTGGAACTAGAGTACAAAAGGGTAGAATTCATGATTAATCTTTATAAAGTCCTGGTAAGATCACATATGGAGTCATCAAAAGCAGCCTGGACTTCACTCTTAGGAAAGATATGTTGACCTTGGAGGGAATGCACAGTAGGTTTACCAGTATTGTACTCGGACTTTAAAGATTCAATTAAAAGGTGAGAAAACACTAAGGCTGTGTTCCTTGCAATTTACAAAATTAAGAGGTGACTTGATTTACATTTTCAAGATATTAAGGGGAACAGGTAGAGTTGATGGACAGAAACTATTCCCATCAGTCGGTGAGTCCAGGACCTTAGGGCAGAGTCTACAAATTAGAGCCAGAACTTTCAGCAGTGAGATTAACAAACACATTTATGCACAAAGGGTGGTAGAAGTTTGGAACTCTCCTCCACTAATGGCAATTCATGCCGATCTACTGTTAATTTTATAAACAAGATTGATCCAATTTTTGCCATCTGCTCTGTTGTATCAACACACAGTCCCCATTCAGTTCCTCCCTGGTAACCCACACTCAACAGCCTATGTTGCACTACTATCATCAAATTGGCAGAGCCCACCACTGAGCCTGAGTTCTCCATCCAGTGGACCCAAATTTGTCTCTATTGTTGTGTTTGTGCAGTCTAGTGATGAATTATGTTCAGGTGAATTATGAACACCCCATCATACAAGTCAATTTATCACCCAGATCCTGAGTGATTAACTCACCTTTGGTTTGGCATGTACAGTGAAACTGAGGAGACCGTGGTAAACTTGAAGAGTTGAGGGGAAGCTCCACACAGTCAAATCCTGCCTGCGTAACAGTGTGGAGAGGCAGGCGAGAATCTGATGGACAAGAAAATCAGACCAAGTCATAATGAAAACTCAATATTTTTAACCATCAGGCAAACATCATGGAGAATAACAGGACCATTTTAACTAAAATACTCTGAAATCACACCTACCCATCGCAGACCTGCTGTAGATCCTGAGTTCACTTGAGCAGCCAAAAGATTCATAAAAACTTTTGCTGTGTCTGAGAACTTCTTTATCAGGACAGAACCAGGAACACTGCAATCAATAAGCAGAATAATTATGCCACTGAATTCAACAAATATGATTACATCACAACCAGATAAAGATGAGGACTAACAATAGGCCATTCAGTCCCTCAATCCTGTTCTGCCACTCATTAAAGGTCACGGTTGGTCAACCACAACTTCATTAACCAGTTGTAGCTTCATACTTCTTCCTCCTTTTAATATCCAAAAACACAGATCTATCCCGATTATAGCAGAGGGCATGTCACGTACTACTTGTCATGGTAAAGAATTCCAAAGATTCACAACTCTCCAAGTAAAGAAATTTCTCCTCCGAACCAGCCTTTTGCTTATACTGAGACTTTGCCCTGTCCTAGACTTTGAGGACGGTTTCTCACATCTTTCCTGTCAAACCCTCTCAGAAGAGTTCCAAACATCTATCATACTGCGTGTAGAAGTGTTTCCTAATTTCATCCCCGACATACCCTAGACGTTTCTTTCCATGAATCCTATCTGTTTCCCTTAACAGCTCGAAAACTTAGTTCAACTCACTCCTTAAACTTGCATATTCCAGAAAATACAATCCTAGTGTAACCTCACCTTTTAACTGAATCTTTGGCATTCCAGGTATCATTCTAGTAAACCTAATCTGTAACCTGTCCATGGTTAATATGTCCTTGTAACAGTGATGCCCTTTATGGCTCTAGGTATGGTCTAATCAGGTTTTGTAAAGATGAATCACGTCTTCTAACCCCTTGTACTCTAGCTTCAATGAGATCACCTCACAGTTAACCAGGTTCTATACCTAACGTTGCTCCATAAAGTAAAAGCACATTATAGAACATAAGAATGTAAGCATGGAGAGACAATTGGTTAGCTACTAGGAAACAGAGAATAGATATAAAAGGGTCATTTTCAGGTTGGCAAGTTGTAGCAAGAGGTATGTCACAGGGATCAGATGGAGCATCAACTTTTTACAATTGATATCATTGACCTGGATGAAGGAACTGAATGTATGGTTGATAAGGTAGGTAGTAAGTTGTGAAGGGGGCATAAGGGAGCTGCAAATGGATAGGGATAGGTTAAGCAAAAAGTTGGAAGCTGGAGTATAATCCATGTAAATATGAACTTGCCCACTCTGGCAAGATGAACAATAAAACAACATATCACTTACACTAACAGCTCTGAGGAACAGCAGGATTTGAATGTCCTGGCACATGAATCACAAAGTTAGCACACAGGCAGAGCAAGTGAATAAGAAGCAAATGGAATGTTGGTATTTATTGCAAGGGTAATAAGAATATAAAAGTAGGAACGTTTTGCTACAGTTGTACAGGATGTTGACAAGATCACATGTGGAGTACTGCATACAGTTTTGATCCCCTCATTTAAGGATATAAATGTATTAGAAGCAGTTCAGAGAGTATACACTCGATGGATACCTGGGATGGGATATTTATCTTAAGAGGAAAGGCTGAATAGGCTGGGCCTGCACCTGCTGGAGTTCAGAAGAATGAAAGATAATCTTATTGAGCGGACTTGACAGGGTGGTTGCTGAAAGGATGTCTCCCATTGTAAAAGAGACTAGAATTAGGGGACATGTTTAAAAATAGGGGGTCTTCCATTTAAGTTGGAGACAAAGAGGCATTTTTTACTATGAGTCAACTTTCTACTGCAAAGAGCTGTGTGAATCATCAAATATCTTTAAGACAGTGGTAAACAGATACATAAACAACAAGGGAGCCTAAGGTCAGCAGCAGCAGGCAGGAAGGAATCTGAAGTTGAGGCCAAAATCAGATCAGCCATAATTTCACTGAATGGGTAATTTGTATGCTTCTAAATGTCAGAGGTCATTGGCCCATCCTACTGAATGTCTCCACTTTCCACATCTCTTTTTTCTTCCCAGGAGTCAATCCAGTGAACCTTTGTTACAGTCTAAGGTTGTTTTATTCTTCTCCAGGTCCAAAGACCGACAGCAGTGCATGGTATTTCCTATGTGGAGTCACCAAAGTCCTATATAATTGCATCAAGAATATCTTAAATGTTTTACCCCAACCGCCTTGTAGTCAATTGACTCCATGATCACTTGCTATATCTACACGTTAAGTTTGTCTTTCTTGTAATTACTGGTCCTTCACTATTTAAGAAAATATTGATGTTCTTCTCACCAAAGTGAATAAAAACGTTTCCCAAAGTAAATGCCATCCTCCACCCTCTTCTTCACTCAATCGATTTGTATCCCCTTGCAGATCACATCGTCTTCAGAGTGTGTATTCTCACGCAGCTCTGCATAATCAGCAAACTTGAATACATGTAAACACGGTCCATTCATCCAAGTGATTGATGTAGACTGTAATAAGTTGATGCCCCATGCTAATCCTATTAGCACTCCACACATTACAGCCTGCCAACCTGAAAATCAGCCAGTTTTCCCATTCTGTTTTCTGCTCTTTAACTGTGGAAGAAATTAGCATATTGTAGAAGGTTCCAGAAAAATCAGTATCAAAAAGGCAAAAAGACTATGTGACAGACAGAATGTTAAAAGGAAGTGTCAACTCAGTGTTCAAACCTCCCCTAGTTCTTAGTAACCGCTATCTTAGTAAAACCTAATCACATTTTTGCCCTAGTCAGTAAAATAAGTGCATGTTAGCTAAATATTAGCAGAAGAACAAAGCCTGCAGCTCAGGATGACAATGAGATTTCTGGAGAACGTTAAGCTTTGAACCACAACATCACTGCTATCTGTCATGTTGACTTGTTTGTCTCTCTCTATAAATATCCTGTAACTCTGCATGGCTGCAGAGTCTTCGATATCTAACCTTTGTCAGCGTTGACTCTCCGTGATATCACGAATAAAAAGTTCTCTTTACCTCGAAGTCTGACAGCTGCAGTCCGGTTATTTGTGTATTAGAAGAAATTCTCTAACATTAACCATTTCTCTATCCACATTAATAAAGTGCCCCATGATATACACTTGTACAACCTTTTGTGTGGCATCTTCTAGAGTGCCTTTATATGTACACGCTATATCCATCTATATCCCTTGCTCTCCTCTTCCAGTTATATCCTCAAAAACCGGAGACTCTCAGAGCAGTTACAACAGAGGCCATTCAACTTGTTAAGTCTGCTCTCCACAAGAGCAAAACAGATTGTCCCATGGCCCAGCCTTTAATCTACAGCCTTGGAAATATGTTGTCATCAGATAATGATCCATTTCTTTTTGGAAGCCATGATTAAATCCGTCTCTACCACATGCTCAGCTAGTGTATTGCACCCTTAACTACTCACTGCTGCTTAAAGGGTTCTTTATACATCACCTTTGGTTCTTTTGCTTAAATCAACGTGTTTTGATTCTTGCTCCATCCACCAATAGGAACAGTTTCTCTCGACCTAATCTGTGAAGATTTTTCATGATTTTGAACACTTCTACTAAATCTCTTCTCATGAATCTTTTCTCTACATCCTTTGGTGCTTTCACATCCTTGCTAATGTCTGTTGCCTACAATTGGGTCCTAGTTGAGAAAAACCAATGTTTTATATTAACCTCCTTGCTTTTATACTTATATGCCCCAATTATCTCTGTTACTTTACATTGTCTTTTGCTCTTTTAAACAAATTAATCACTTCACATTTCTGTGTTACTTTTTATTTAATACTTGTCTGCTCATTCCACCAGCCTATGTCCTCTTTAATTATCAGAACCTCACAGTTTGCTTTTCTTAAGTTTGATGTCATCCATAATTATTTTAAAATTGCACACTGCCTATCCGCATCTGTAGATCAAGAAAAGTAGTAGTCCTAATAACGATGCTTAGTAAACATGACTAGAAACTATCTTCCAAATCAAAAAGCGCTGTGCATCACCACTGTGTCTACTTTCATATCATTAATTTCATATCCATGCTGCCACTGTTCCTTTTATTTAATGCACTTTAAGTTTTGTTGACACGTCTATTATGTGGCACTTTATCAAATGCCTTTTGAAAATCTATGTACATTACAACAACTATTGTCACCCTAATCAATTCTCCCTGTGACTTTATCAAAACAACTAAATCACGTTGAACACATTTTATTTACAACAAATCCGTAGCTGCTTTTACTTGGTTAATCCATATCTGTTCAAGCGACTGTTAATTTTGTCCAGGACTAACATTTATAGAAGTTTTCTCACCAAGGAGGTTAAACTGGTTGGCCTGCACTTGCTGGGTTTATCTCCATGCATACTTTCAAAGGGGGTAATTTCAGCAATTCTGTTCTTTGGCACCAACTCTTCATTCTCCCTTTATTGAGGGGGAACTGGAAGATTATGGTCAGTGCCTCTGCGATGTTCACCTTTACTTCTCTCAGTATCCTTGAAAACATCTGAACCAGTGCTGGTGATTTATCAACCTTAACTATAGCCAATCTTTCTATTAGCACCTCTATCAATTTTTAGGCCATCCAGCACCTCAATTACTCCCTCTTTCACCATAATATTGATAGCACCTTTTTCCATGGTACAGTTCGATGCAATATATTCATTTAATACTTAAGCCATGGCCTCCACCTTCATGTGTATATTCCCCTTTTGGTTCCTAATTGGCCCCATTCCTCCTTTTTACCAGCCCTTTACTATTTATATGCCTATAAAAGACATTTAGATTCACTTTTACATTAATTCTGATGTCTTCTCACACTGTCTTTGCTTCTCATTCCTGCTCTGAATTTCAATATTCAGTTTGAATTTTACCAGTATCATGAGCTTGACATTTATCATATGCAAGCTATTGAAGATGATTTCTCTTTCATAAAACCATGAGGGTTCTTCTTGATCATTATATGATTTTCTAAGTCTAACATTACTACCGGATCCCAGCACTTCCTGATCAACGAGGTCAGGCTAATTGCCTCTTTGTTGCAATTTGAATAATGCTGTTACACTCCACCTTCCAAACCACTCCATTCATTCCAGATTTCTAAATTTTAAAACATTACGACCAAGTCATTTTAAAAAAAATTCACTTGCAGGACATGGTCATCGCTGGCTGACCAGCATTTATTGCCTGCGCTAGTTGCCTTCGAGAAGGCGGAGGTGAGCTGCCTTCATGAACTGCAGCAGTCCACATGCTGTAGGTAGATTCACAATGCTACTAGGGAGGGGATTCTGGGATTTTGAACCAGCATCAGAAATCAGCTGGTGAGTGGCTTGGAAGGGAATTTGCAGGTGGTGGTGTTCCCATATATCTGCTGCCCTTTTAGATGGAAGTGATCATGAATTTGGAAGGTGTGGTCTAAGGATCTTTGATGAATTTCTGCAGTGTATCTTGCAGACAGTATACACTGCTGCTATCGATGGTGGTGGAGGAAGTGGATGCTTGTGGTACGGGTTGCCAATCAAGCAGACTGCTTTGTCCTGGATGGTGTCAAGCTTCTTGAGTGTTTTTGGAGCTGCAACCACCCAAGCAAGTGGGAAGTATTCCATCACACACCTGACTTGTGCCTTGTAGATGGTGGACAGGCTTTGGGAAGTCAGAAGGTGAGTTACTCACCACAGTATTGATACCTTCTGACCTGCCCTTGTTCATGTGGTGAGTCCAGCTGAGTTTTTGGTCAATGGTAACCCCAAGGATGTTAATGGTGAGAGATTCAGTGATGATAACACCATTGAATGTCACAGGGCGGTGGTTAAATTGCCTCTTCTTGGAGATAGTTACCGCCTGGTATTTCTGTGGTGCACATGTTACTTGCCACTTGTCAGTCCAAGCCTTGAAACTGTCCAGACTCGTTGCATTTGAACATGGACTGCTTCAGTATCTCAGGAGTTGTGAATAATGCTGAACATTGTGCAATCATCAGCGGATATCCCTAGTTGGTACCTTGCAAATACTTCAGACTTCACCAATGTTTGGACTTACCGTCTCATTACCAAATTCAGCAAGTAGGCAACGGCTGCAATTGACTCCTCAGATTCTACAGCTTCCAGCGTGGTCATCTGAGAAAAATATGCGAGCAGGAGTTAGTTAGGCTGGGAGCTATCATGTTCACTGCCTCCCACCCAACAACCATTGACTACAGCCTGCCCTTTATGGTCCTTAATCTTAAACCTTTTATAAGAGAGACAGAATAAAGAGCGAGAGTGACAGGGTAGAGACCGAGATTGACAGGATAGAGACCCAGAGTGACAGGATAGAGACCCAGAGTAATATATTATATAATATATTTTGCTTCATTCAATAGTTCCCTGTAACCCACTCACAGCTCAGGAAACCCTAATATGCTTAATTACAGATTTGCCAATCAGAAATGCATTGAGTAACAGACTCCTTGGCTGGTCTCTTATCTCAGCAATCATTCATATGATAGTCAAATGAAGATTTAACACTTTGGCATTAACTAAATATGCCCTTTGTTTTACAGACTGTGTCTAAAGTCTCTGCATAACATTTGCCGCCCAGCCTGAAACGTATTCATTTATGCTCACCTGCTGATAGTCAGCAATTTCTACTAGGCATCACTGGAGCATGTACACAGATCACAGGTGGACAATTACCTCACTCCCAGGTACAGTCCACAGCCCTCAAAAGAGCACACAGTATTTATAGACCCTAACCACTCAGAAATCCTTACCACCGCCAACCAGACAGAGATCACACCCATGCTCACCAGAGAGACCACTGTCGCACTAACCAGAGAAAGACCCTGACATTCAATGACAAGAGAAATCTCCTCTCCCTTCCCCAAACTCACGCAGTAGGAAACAGGTTGGAAATTTACACAAAATCAACTGGAACTGAAACGGACTAAGTCTATGCAGAATAATCTCCTAAAGCAGTGGACTCAACTCCCACCCTGTCCCCCCCCCCCCCCCCCCCCCCCCCACCACCCATCCTCCTCACTCCCAGCCCACCCCCCCAGTCCCTCACTTCCGCTACTTTCCAGTCTCTCGTGAAGATGAGAGTGAGAGAAGGGCAAAGAACATGGGGTGAAAGCTCACCAAAGCTGCAAAATATTCTGTTTCCGTCTCATTCCCACCTTGAGATCGAATCACCTCAGTAACAGCTGCCAAGACAGCACACACCTGTAAAACAAACAGACAATTATTGAATGCGATCAGTTGTTGTTGTCATGTGTTGCTGCTAGTGATCAACTCCCAGTGTCTCTACTTGAACAGTGAATGCTCAATATTCAACAATTCAATACTCACTACCCAATACCACCAGTGAACACTAGCTTCGACAGAGCACTTTGAGTACTTGACCCTCAGAAACTATGCTACTCTCACCTCTTTGTGGGCAGCAGAGTTGGATTCCCAGAAGCGCTGCACTCGGCGAAAGGTCAGGTTGCTGCAATCAGACAGACCACTGAGGAAGGTGCCAGCGGTTTCTTCTGAGGCAGCACCATCCTCATGCTTGGAAGAGGGCTCTTCTGCCAAGCTCTCTCTTGGATCAAATAATAAACTATTGGATTGGAGGTCGTTATGCAGTTTCAGCACATCCACTGTCAGATCACTCTTACCTGGACAGAATATAAAGGGGTCAGAGGTTAACAGCAATCCACTGAGCAATCATCTTAGTCCTAGAATCCCTACAGTGCGGAAGCTGGCCATTCAGCCCACCTACAGCACACCAAACTCCAAAGAGCATCAGGCCCATTCCCCTACCCTATCCTTGAAACCCTGCATTTCCCATTACCAATCCACCTAATCTGCGCATCATTGGACTGTGCGAGAAAACTACAGCACCCAGAGGAAACCCACACAGAACTCAGGGAAAACATGCTAACTCCACACAGACAGTCACCCAAGGCTAGAAATGAACCCAGATCCCTGGTGCTGTGAGGCTGAGAGCCACAATGCCGTCCCTGCCACTTTCACATCAAACCAAACAGCTCACCATCCAAAGCCTGTCTCCAACAGTATCACCACGACCCGTAGAGCTAATTACACTTGTTCCAGACATATCAATTTGTGTCTTACAACTCACCTAACAGGGACTACGGCAAATCCATGATAGGTACTGGGGTTGCAATTACAACAGAGATAACAATCAGCACTCACTGGGGAACTGAGTCTCTCCACACCTCATCCAAACTCAAGCCAAGAATTACCACCCACAAAAACAGTTCAGAGTGAGCAAGATTGAGGTCACTTGTTAAAAGAGCAACCAAGCCAACTGGCACATTAAACTTGTGGGAGAAAGGGAGCTTTACTCTATCTGACCCTGGGCAATAGGTAGCAAAAACAGAGAGTCAGATCATTACCATATATTGGGAAAGTGGGGAGGTGCAATGAGGTTTGGTTGCCATTGTACACCAGTTGCTGAAAGTAAGCATGCAGGCAGCAAAGACAGCAAATGTTATGTTGGCCCTCACAGCAATAGGATTTGGGTAAAGGAGCAGGGATGTCTTGCTCCACTTGTACAGGGCCTTTCTGAGACCATATTTGAATATTGTATACTGGTATGGTCTCCTTAATTAAGAATGGATGTTCTGGCCATGGACGGAGTGCAACAAAGTTTACCAGACTGACTCCTGGGATGACAGGACTGATACATAACGAAAGATTGGATCAGTTAGGATTATATTCACTACAGTTGGAAGAATGAGGGGGGAATCTCATAGAAATGTATGAAATTCCAGCAGAACTAAACAGAGTAAATGTAGGATGGATGTTTCTGATTACCAGGGAAACCGACATAACAGGTCCACAGAGGATGCCATTCCCCTAGTCCTACACTCATCGCTGCACCTCTGGACAACAAAGACACCTACATGGGATTCCTGCTCATTGACTACAGATCCACCTTCAACACCATTATCCCCTCCAGACTGATCTCAAAACTGCACTTCTTCACAATAACACTCAATACTGGAGGCCCCCACCACAGATGCGTCTTCAGCCCCCTACTGTACTCTCTGTACACCAACAACTGTGTTACCAAATTCCAAACGAAGGCCATCTACAAGTTTGCTAACAACACCACATTCTGGGACAGGTATCTAACAACGAGTCAAAACACAAAAGGGATTTGGACGGCTTGGTGACGTGGTGCAATGAAAACATTCTGTCTCTCACCATCTGCAAAACTAAAGGCTTCAGAAAGAAAGGAGGAGATCACAACCCCATCTACATCAACCGAACTTTGGTTGAGAGAGTAAAGAGCATCAGGTTCCTCGGAGTGACAATAACTGATGACTTGTCTTGGACTTCCCATGTAAATGCGATAATCAAGAAGACACAACAACGCCTCAGGCAGCTCAGGAAATTAGGCATGTCCATAAGGTCCCTTATCAACTTCTACAGATGCACCATTGAAAGCATGCACCTGGACAGTTTAACGGCCTGGTATGGTTACTGCTCTGCCTAGGACCATAAGAAACCACAGATGGTGCTGCGCACAGCCCAGACCATCACAGAAGCCAACCTTCCATCCATGGACTTTAGTTACAAAGTTTGCTGCCGTGGTAGGCAGCCAACATCATCAAAGACCCTCATAATAACCTCTTCCGTCAGACAGAAGATACAGAAGCCTGAACACACGCACAAGCAAGTTCAGGAACAGCTTCTTTCTAGCCGTTATCAGACTGTTGAATGGACTCTAGCATCAAATAATGTAACAAGCAATGTAACCTGTATGCCTCTAAGTCATTTTGATCTCTACATCCTTTGCTTGCTGTGATCTGCCTGTACCGTTCATAAACAAAGCTTTTCACTGTATTTCGATACACATGACAATAAATCAATTAATCAACCCCTAATAAAACAGAATTCAAATGAGGAAGCATTTCTTCACCCAGAGAGTGGTGAAACTGTGGAATAACCCAAATAATTCTCTGGCTAATTCTCTGGCACAGAAAGCATTTGAGGCCAAAACATTGAATGTTTTCAATAAGGAGCTAGACAGCATTCTTAGGGAGTAAAGGGACCAAAAGGCACAGGAAGTAAGAGAGAATAGGGCACTGAAATAAATGATCACCCATGATAATATTGAATAGGCACGAAGAACTGAATGGCCTACTCCTGCTCCTATATTCTAAGTTTGTAAGCGCCGTGCCTGTCCTGGAGTGTTTAATGGAGTCAGTGTTGAGAAAACTTTACTCTATATCTAACCCCATGCCGTGCCCGTTCTGTACGAGAAGTGGTAACGGGATAAGTGTCTGTCTAGGCCGCTGTCCCGGGATCTGGACTGGGTCAACACGTTACCCACGTGCCCCGCTCTTCTGCCAGGCCCTAAAGCCTCAGTTTTTCCAGTCCGCTGAGACCGAGCTTACCGGCCGGTTTGCTGAAGAAGCCGCTCCGCGCGGCATCCCGGAAGCGGTGGGTCTCCGGGTTGGATTCGCTGCTCTGCCCTTTCCGCCAGCGCTTCAGCTTCGGCTTCACTCCAGACCGCAGCCGCCCGCTCCGCGACATTATCCCCGATCAGAACCTAGCTCCAACTGGCCCTCCCGGCTCCAGGGCCACTCACACCGCCCCCCGCGGCCAGGAGCAGGACTGCACTCACACCGCCCCCTGCGGCCTGGAGCAGGACTGCACACACACCGCCCGCCCCCTGCGGCCTGGAGCAGGACTGCACGCACACCGCCCCCCGCGGCCCGGAGCAGGACTGCACGCACACCGCCCCCCGCGGCCTGGA